CTGCAGGCTGGGCAAGACAGGCCCCTGGTCCAGCTCAGGAGGCATCTGTATAACTCAGTGACCACCACCTGGGGAAGGTGGCAGACCCTCTTGGGGAGCGGGAAAACCCCAGGGACTTCTCGGCTGCTGATGGCCACCCCAGGGCCTATGCACACACAGGTACACACACACACACGCCACACACTCAACCGATGGAAGATCTTGCCTCGGACGGAAGCTTAAAAGCTCATCTCATTGTTAGAAATCTTATGAGGTCACACAGGTTTCTCAGCTGTGGGAATTGGAAGAGATGACAAAGAGAGGAGAGAGAGAGAGGATGGAAGGAGGGAGGAAAGAAGGAAGGAAGGAAGGAAGGAGGGAAGGAAGGAGGGAGGGAAGAAGGAAGGAGGGAGGGAGGGAAGGGAGAGAAGGAAAGAAGGAAGGAAGGAAGGAAGGAGGGAGGGAGAAAGGAAGGAAGGAAGGAAGGAAGGAAGGAAGGAAGGAAGGAAGGAAGGAAGGAAGGAGGGAAGAAAAGGAAGGAAGGGAGGAAGGAAGGAAGGAAGGAAGGAAGGAAGGAAGGAAGGAAGGAAGGGATGGCAGGCAGAGAGGGAGGGGAGGCAGGCCTGGCGCAGTTGGCGAAGGGCGCTGCCTTGGGAAGGGCGCTGAGGGCAGGGGAGAGGAAGAGGGCAGGCAGGGGCGGGAGGCGGGGCGGGGGAAAGTTGCCCACAGCTGTCATGAAGCTTCAAGGCTTTCTGCCAGACAGCAGAGTGACAGCTAGAGTGGGCAGGGGGAGGGCCGGCTCCACCCCCTCCCCCCCAGCTCTTCAGGGGCCCCGGGAACTCTGCGGTGGGAGGCGGCGGCCCAGGCTCTGCTCTCTCCCACGAGGCCTTGGCGGTGGCTACCGTGCTCTGGTTTCGCTGCCCTGCCTTCCCGTGCATTCTGCCTCGTGCCCGTCCTTCTCCCAAGAATGACTTTTAATTGACAAATGATCTGCCTTTACAGCAGGTGGCGTCTAACAGCTGTCTCCCCCACCCCCCCAGCCCCCCCCGCCCCTCCCGCCCCGGCCCTTCACCACCCCCCAGCACCGCGTCAGGCACAGCTGGGCGCTTCGCATATGTCCGCTCAGATGTCCCCCTGGACTGAAAGTCTTCAAACTTCAGGCCCTTACTCGGCCTCTAGTGGCTTCTGGAGGAGACCCAGCGGGCCACGGCTGGGGAGACATCCTGGGCACGGGCAGGCGAGTGGTGCAGGAGACACTGCATTTCCCCCACCCATCCACCCCTGGGGTCCTCAGTGGCCATTTCTTGAGCGACCATTGTGCTCCAGGCCCTGAGCAAAGTGCTAGGGGTGAAACAGGGACAGGGTGGACCTGACCCCTGTATTTGCAGAGTTCCTGGCCCGGTGGGTGACAGGCGTTAATCCAACAATCACACAGCCGCTGTACAAGCCTCACATTCCCTGCAGCAGAGCCTGGCCGGGTGTGGGGACACCAGCCACGTAGGTGACGACAATGACGTGGCATGCCTTGGCCAGGAACTGGTGAGGGCGGGAAGGCTGATGGCACAGAGGACGCCTCAGTGGCCAGGCAGGAGGCCCCCGAAGGAAGCGACTGCCTGTCCTACTTCCCCGGGGGTCTCAGAACAGGGGTGGTCAGTCATCTGCAAGCGGGGACACTGAGGACTGGCCTGCCTTGGGGAAGCAGTGTGTCCACCTATCTGGGATCCCTTCCCACGCCATCCCCATCCCAGGGACTGCGTGGCCCAGCCTTGTGTCCCACCGCCTCACTGGCCTCCTGGGCCCCAGGACGTAGGCTGCATCTGTGGCCATTAGCTCCCACCCTATGCCTCACCCCACGTGATCCTGTCCTCCGTGTGACCCCAGCATCCGTCCACAGGGTCCCCTGTTAGAAAGGAAACCTCTCTCACGGGGAGGCCGACTGCCTGGATGGCGGGCGGGCCTCTGAACCCAGGGTTCCAAATCTACATCTTGCATTGTCCACTCTGCCCGTTTCCTGATCAGCCCCGAGCACAGCTGGAGGAGGCTGGTGTGGTGAGAAGATTTTTACCAAGGGGGGGAGAGAGAGAAAGGAAAAGCATTTGGGACCAGTCCTGTGGGTCCCTTGAGTGCCTGTGAATAGCCTGATAGCCGTTTGGGCTGCAGAGCAAATGGGTCGGGAGGGGGATGTGCAGAGAGCGGAGTAGTTTTTAGAGGGACTTTGGTAGCTGCAGAGCAGAGTCTGGTCATCCTCCTGCCAGCCAGATGCCCCTGCCTCTGCTTCTGGGGAGTCCGGGGGAGCAGGAAGCTGCCAGAGAGCACAGAGCATCTCCAGGTGCTCTTCCTGAGACCTGGGGATGTGCGAGAGGCCAGAGAGAGGGAGGTAGCCTCCCTGGTGCCTCGGGGCGTGGGAGCCAGATTCTGCAGCTGAGGTGAAGGGTGGGGGTCAGGCCAGGGGAGGGGGCAGTCCCGCTTGGGGCAGGGGAGGGGCAGGGGACCTCGGTGCGCAAAGCTATGACAGCACATCTTGATTTTCCTGAGCGGGCCCAACACACTGTCCTCCCGGCCGTGTGAGAGTAGAGTCTTCCCCCACCAGAGTATCCCTTTTCTCACCCTACACACAGCCGAAGGGTCTTTGGGGTGCACAGCTCATTCTGACTTTATTCCCCCTCTGCTCAGAAAGTGACGGTAGCTCCCCACTGCCCCTTCCATGGAGTCCAAGGTCCAAGCTCCGGAACCAGGACAGGCATCAGGGTCTTCCCACCCCATCTGCTCTTGGGCTGCCTGCACCCCAGCCTGCTTGCTCGTCCACATTCCCCGGCCTCTGGCTCCCTCCACCTGGTCCAGGCACTGCCCCCTCTCTGCTGTGTCCTTGTCCTCCTTCCACACGTGCATCTTCCGGAAAGTCCTTCCTGATGGACCCGCTGCACCTGGTAACTGACGGGATGAGGGACAGGGCAGGGAGCTCAGAGAGCTTAGAGACTGTGTGGTCTACCAGGTGCATGCGGCTACTTCAGCTAATTGAAGCAAACATTTGGTCCCTCGGCTGCACTGGCCACATGTCAAGCGCTGACACATGGGGCCAGGGCATCCTATGGAATGGCTGCAGGTAGAGCGGGTTTCCACCCTCCCAGGAAGCCCTGTCGGACAGCACTGGTCTAGAATGACTATCGGGTGAGGAGTTCAAGCGCCTTCAACCAAAATGAGGGAGAGAGGGTGATGAACAGACTCACGGAGCGGGAGGGAATGGTCAGTTTGGGACACTTTGAGTTCCAGGGGGTCTTTAAATAGGACCTCCAAGTAGAGATACCCAGTAGGAAATTAGGGAGTTCTTATCTTCGACCACTCCAAACTCCCTGAAAAAGGGTTTGAAATTCAACTGGTGACCTTCTCCTTGGGAATTTCAAGGGCCTCACTGAAATCCAATTTTGAACATCCCTCAGAAATCTCTAGAAGGCGGCTGTGATGTAATGGGACTCAGGGTAGACGCTGTGTCTGGCTCGGGTCGGCTTGAAAGGGAGAAAAAGGTGCTGGTAGGCAACGCGAGGGCCTGAAACCATTACCTCCGTTACCTCTTGGAGGAAGGGGGTAGAGAAAGCAGAGGTCTGGGCATCTCAGCCTGGACCCTGGGATCATCAGGTTGGTGAGTTGAAATGATTCCCAGGGACAGCCCTGACCCCATTCCGTGGGATCCTTGCCCTTTACAGGACAACAGGTGCAAAAGCATCATTTATCTTTTCTAGCTCCTTTCTGCAAGGTCTTTCCTCAAATTCTTTCCAAGAGGAGACCCCAGACACTATTGTGCCCCGGTGCCTCACTCCTGGCCGTTCCCATGGATTGATCTGAGCTCACTCGGCTTTGAACTCATAGCCCCGCACTCCCTCTCTGGCTCGTGTGGAAGAATCCTAGACTGGGAGCCAGTCTCAGTAAGAACAAGGAGAATGGACTGGGGGGCTAGCAGGGAGTACGAGGATGGAAAACCTGCTGGTGTCGCCTGCGGTGGTCCTCAGGAGTCCCCACTCATCCCCGTAGGAGAGGAAAAGCCGGCCACCCCGGGCTGCTGGACAGTGACTTCCATTTTGGGGGTGCTAAGGAATGGCACCTTAGCCTACGGGACACCCCCTGGTGGTTGTTCTCAGCCCTGGCTGCTCTCCAGCTCAACCTGGGCGATTCTGGTATTACTGGTCAAGGGTAAGGGCCGTGTTTAAAAAGCCCTTCCGCCCCCGCACACCTCACCTAGGAGGTTCTGATGGGTGGGCTTCACTTATAGCCACTGTGCTAGGGCAGAGCCCAGCTCAGTGCTGCCCCAGGGCTCTCTGTGGTGGCCACAGGCTGTGGTGTGACGGGGAGAAGCATCTAGGGCTCGGGAGCCCAGAGACCACAGGACGGGAGACACAACACTGCCAGCATGTAGGTGGGGTAAGACGTTCCCTCGGCTCTGCCTCACCTTCTCGGACCCGCTCCCAGCCCAGCAGGGCCACACGCAGCGGTGAGCCTGCCAAGTGGCTGGGGGTGGGAGCTGGCCAGTAGTTGGGGCAGAAGGTTCCTTTTCTCCGACAGTTAAAGAGTCGGAGGGGCTGCTCCAGCAGAGCAGAGGTGGAGAAGAGCAGGATAGGACTCTAGGGCACCCATTCTGCCCCCGCTCGGACCCCCGCCTCCCACAGACCGGAGGTCGGCCATTCCCAGCAGAGCCAGGGAGGAAGCAGAAGCTGGTTGGTGTGAGCAGCCCCAGCCCTGCCCCAACCTGCCCCACAACCTGTAGGATGGGGCCAGGCCGGCAGATGGGTGGCCAGTGTGTGGCCCCAGGGGAGAGCGCTCTGAGCTACAGCGGCTGGGAGGGAAGTCCTTGTCCTGCGAGCTCCACACTGAGCCCGGATAATCCATCCCTCAGCATCACCAGCCCCCCTCACTCCCCACATCTGCCCCTGCCTTCTCCTGCTGCATAAACTCACACACACACATACACCACGTCCCACAGGAACACCACTGACCCCACAGGTCAGCCCATCTCCAAAGGGGAGGCTCAGACTCACCGTTTTATTGACTTCAGGGTTTGAAATCTGGCCATACAACTAGACACAGTGAAGGGGTGGCAGGGGAGGCCAGGGATGGAAAATCACTCGTGGGCACCTGGAGCACCCCCTTCCTCCCCCTGCCCCCCAGACCACGTGGGAGACCCAGGCACCAGAGCCAGGGCCACCAGGAAGGTGTGGTCTCTGTGGCAATGCGGGGCTGGCTGGGCTTCCCACCGCAGGCAGAAATTGCCTCCCAACTTTTAGTTCCTGCCCCTTTTGAAAAGCGCGTGCCTGGCTGTCCTGCCTTGCTTGTGATCAGGGCCAAGTCATGCAGGGACCAGCTGGGAGGGAGCAGCTTCCTCTGCCTTCAGAGAGGGCTCCCAGGATGCAAGGGTCCCCGTGGGCTCAGGGGCAAGTGGCAGAAGGTGGCAGGGGTCTTGGGAAGGAAGAAGGAATTCACTTTGGGGGCTTGAGTCGAGGTGCAGGAGGAGGAAGATGCAGCATTCCGCCCCCCCCCCCCCCCCAGCTACCACCTCAGTGCCCCTTCCCCCTTCCCTCCAGGGGGGGACCACATTCGGTTTCCTCTCAAGGTCCAAGGGGCAGGGGGCAAGGACAGGGAAGGGGCCCTGCCAGGAGCCCAGCATCACTTCCTGCCAGGTAAGGAGGCCCCAGGTCGCTTACATTTCATCTGGGCTCCAGGCTCGGCATCCCCCAGCAGGGCCAGCGAGGAGGGCTCCTTGCCCGCTAGGAAGGTGATCATGTTCTGCTTTTGGCTCCGGAGGGCCAGCTGCAGGGGTGTGCAGCCCACCCCCTCCTGGATGTCCAGCTGGGCACCAGCTTTGACCAGCACTTGGAGGATGGCCATGCTGCCCTTGAGGGCGGCCAGGTGGGTGGGCGTCCAGCCCACCCTGTTGCGGGCATGGATGTCTGCATGGTGCTCCAGGAGATTGACGATACCCAGGAAGGTGCCCTCTGGATGGCCAGGTGGAGGGGCGTCCAGCCCGACTGCTCGGCAGTACTGGGGTCAGTGCTAACTCCACAGCCTCCTCCCCATGGCAGGTGGTGAGGTGCAGGGGCGTCCACTTCATGCCTCCAGGAGCCCCCAAGTCTGCACGGCTCTCCGCCAGCAGGTGGATGACCTCCAAGTGGCCCGTGTAGGCCGCGAGATGTAGGGGGTCCAGCCCTGCTGGGTCGGCAGCTCGAGGCTGGCCCCGTACGTGAGCAGCATCTTGCAGATCAGGCACTTTCCCCTGGCGGCTGCCGTGTACAGTGGGCTGTAGCCACTCTGGTCAAGGGCATCGGGAGCTGCCCCGCTCTTCAACACGTGTTGGATGGCCCTCACTTTGCCTCGCTCCACCACCAGGTGCAGAGGCATCCTCAGGTTTCTCTGCTGAGCATCCAACTCAGCCCCCTGGCCCATCAGTAGCTTGACCAGGCTGACGTGGCCAAAGTAGGCAGCCACGTGCAGAGGGGTCTTGCCGTCGGCCTCATGCAGGTTGGGGTCAGCTTGGTGGGAGACCAGAAGCCATACCACATTCTCAAAGTTGTTCTGTGCAGCCAGGTGGAGCAGGGTCCACCCCTCATGCTCCCGGGCATCCGCGTGGGCCCCGTGCTCCAGGAGCAGGCGGGCGGGGAGGTCATCCCCGTTCTGGGCTGCGAAGTGCAGCGGGGCCCAGCCATCCTCGTCTGCCAGGTTGGTGTCCGCCCCGTGCCCCAGGAGCAGGGCGCAGAGGTCAGGCTGCTGGTCCTGGGCGGCGATGAGGGGCAGCGTGTAGCCGCAGGCGGTCTGGTAGGCCACATCGACCTCGAGGGCCAGCAGCAGCCTCACCGGCTCCACACTGCCCTGCACCACCAGGAAGTGGAGGGGCGTGACTTGGTTCTCATAGATGCGCAGCTCCTTGTTGCTCGGGACTGGGGTCTCGCTGTCCAAGAGCTGCAGGACCCCCTTCAAGTAGTCCCCCGAGTCTGCTGGGAGGGAGATGGGGTTGGAAAAAGGACCTCTGACCTGTCCACAGGTCATCTCGTCCGGCCCCCTGCCTCCTGGAAGTGCCATCCAGGAACAGAGACTCTGGGAGGGAGGGCAGTCTTTCCTGCTATCAGAGATCTCTGCACAGCCTCCCTTGTCCTGGAGAAAGGACTCCGGCAGCCACTCCTGTGAGGATGGGGCGGAAAGAGGCCTGGGAGTAAACCCTGACTGCACCCTTCGCGCTGCTGGACCTTCACCAATTCCCTGCCCTCCTTGAGCCTCCAGATCCTGATCCATAAAGGGGCCACAAACAATGCCCACTTCATCTACTGTTGCGAGGACAGTTTAGGTAGGCAAGCACATTCAGGGGAGTGCTTGCCACAAAGGAAGTCAATGCCAGCCGAATACAGGCTCCATGATCTGAACTTCAGCCATTAAGGCTTCCTCCTGTTCTACCCAGAGTATATCCTGAGTAAAAGCAACAATTTCCAAAACAAACTGCAACAACAAAAATCCCTGCCCAGGCCAACCCTCCCCGCCTCCCCCCCAGATTCTGATTTAATCGTCTAGGTGGCCTAGGCATCACGGCAGCTTTCATCCCCCAAGTCAAAACGCAGCCAGGCTTGCAAGCCAACGCTCCACAACCCCCCCAGCCCAGCCCCACCCCTGAGCCAGGAAAGGAGGAGTCTGGCCTACTAAGAACACCAGCCTGAAGGGGGAAGCAGAGCCTCTTCCCCGAGGGCATGTGCATTTCTGGAACCTGGGGCCAGTGTCAGGAAAGGGACCCACTAACTCCTGATTTGGGACAAGCTGGGCAGAGGGTTGGGGTGGGGGGGTGAGGGGGCAAGGGCGAGGGGGAAAGGGTGTGGTTGGATTCCACTTTCTCCTCCCTGTGAATTCCCTGGTTCTAGCTGTGGCTCTGTGGACTCAGCCAAGAGCTCTTGGCTGACCTTGTCGCTGACCTGGGTAGAGGGAATCAGAAGACAAGGGGGCAGATTAGACCAGTGGGGCAGTTCTGGTCTGTACCGTCCTCCACTCCTCCCCTCTCTCCGGCACCTGTCCTAGGAAGCCCCTCCCATGCCATTCGGACCACCTGCTGTGTCTGCAGGAAAGTCCTGAGCAGGGGAGACCCTGCTGGAAAGAGGTGGTCTAGGGCCTTGACTGCCCCTCGGACCACGTGGAGGGCAGGGTGGCTGGCCCTGTGGTTCGGCCAGGAGCCCCCTGCTAGCCCACGGCTGGTTCCCATGTTAAGGGGTGAGGACACTGATGCCTGCAGGCAGGACTCTGATAGGCTGCCTGGTGTGGCCAGCAGTGTGGGCTGGGCTGGCTCTCAGTCCCCATCTGCTCCCTCAGCCAGTGGGGGGGCCTTGCGAAGGACACGCCCATGCATCATGCATGCATCCCCCCACCCAGGGACTTATCGGAGGCACCCTCCCTCCCCAGCACTCACCTCCCGAGGCCGGTGCAGAGACAGCTTGCAGGACACCTTCCCGGCCAGAGCCTCACTGTCTGGGTCTGCCACGGGACTCTGAGCAGGGATAGCCGCATGTCTGTCTCGACTGTGATGTCTGCTCCATGAAGGAGAGACACAAAAAGAGAAGCAACAGGCTGGCCAGCAGTCCGTTCCCCATTTTAGATACCTGAACATTCCCCGTGTCCCCCACACCCCAAAATCCATTCCCAGACTCAGATATATCCATACATGTGCGTCAGGAGGGAGGAAAGCTGGATCCCGGCCGGCCGTGGCTCAGTGGGCCCACATTCAGCAGGTCCCTGGTCCTCTGATGGTCAGTCCTTTTCCATAAATGAGGGGGCAGGACTAGATGGGTGATCTCTGAGTGCTCACAGTTACACACGTGTGCGTTTCCACAGTGGCTAAAGGGGTCCATCCATGCCTGTGATCTCACAGTCTGGGAACATGTTACAAATGAGGCTGCTGTGGCCCCGGACGGAACCGGTGAACTCAGAAGCAGGAGAGCCAGGCCCCAACCCTTCAGTATGGGTTTTCGGCTCGGCCTCCCGCGGGGATGCAGAGAGGAGCCTCAGTCCTCACTGCCCCCTCCCCCGCTGTCCTCCTCCAGCACTCTGACGCACGCAGACCCTGCCCCAGCACCACAGGGAGCGCTCAGGAGTGGCCCAGGCCCCAGCCACCTCCTCCCCTGCCCCCTGGAACCTCGGCCCAGGCTCCCACACGCTCCAGCCCCGCCCCGCTCCCCAGGCCCTTGGGCAGGGCAGGCCTGACAAGAACCTGGAAAGCAGGGCCTCTTCTTGGGGTCCTGATCCCAACAGCGCCTCATCAGGTTCACCATCTGCTGGGCCTTGCCTGGCCACTCGTCCGAGACAGGCTGCAGGGAGGGCCGCATGCCTGCGGCCACTCGGGCAACAATAGTCACCATGTTGAAGCCTGTGAGGGGAGGTCCAGGCTGTGTGCATGCTGGGAGGCAGGGCCAGAGCAGTGGGCTGGGCAGGGTGGTGGGCGGCTCTGAGGATCCCCACAGGGGTGCACACAGCAGGGGCCACATGAATGCATGGTGAATAAACGGCTAGGTTACAGGCTGAGATTCCAGCAGGGGAGGGAGGAAGGAGGGTGGGGACGGGAATCCTTAAAGTGTATGCTACTCCCCAACCCAAAGCCGCCACTTATCCTGTCCCTGCAAGCCCTCAGCCTCTCACAGGGCCTTCCAGGACCCCACCCGAGGCTGCCACCACCATCTGCTACCTGAATACGGTTTCTTCTGAGTGAGGAGCTCCCAGATGACGATGCCGAAGCTGCAGACGGGACAAAGTGCTCCCTGAGTCACTTTCTCGGATACCCATCGTCACCCCACCTGGGAGGCCCCATGGACCACACCCTCCCAGGCAGAGCCTCTCCAGCCAGAGTGCCCCTCCATCCTTCCCCCTCCCTGTCCTGGCGTGCCCTTGGGCCTCGGGGGGTCAGGCAGGGTGGTGATAAGCAGCATCCCTCCCACCCCCGGGAATGTGGCACGGAGCCCAGGCACCTCTCACCTGCACATGTCGTACTTGGGCCCTGGGGCCTTGTTACTTTCCAAGAACATCTCAGGGAGGATGTAGCTGAGGGTGCCCCACAGAGCTGACCTGTCAATGTACTGCATCCGGGTTGACTGTTCCATCCACTTGGACAGGCCGAAATCTGAAATCTGGGAGGAAGCCACAGGCCAGGATAAGGGAGCAATAGTCCTGTCTCCAGAAAACTGCCTTGATCCCTCAGAGTCCTGCAGCCTACCTTTTCTGGGACAGTGTAGTGGTTAAGAGCCCGGGCCTCTCCCATCTCTGCCACATGCGACCTGCATGACCTCAGACATGTTACTGAACTCCTCAGACCCTCAACTTCCTCATCTATAAACTGGAAATAATATGAACACTTAGCTCATAGTGCTTTTCTGAGCATGAAATGGGCAAATATGCAAAAAACATCTAGAACTGCTCCTGGCACATAGTAAGTACTTAGGAGGTGTTGCCGTTATCCAGAGGGGCTGTGGATAAAGTCTCATCCTGATCTTCTCCATTTTGGCTGCTTCTCCAATGAGGCAATCCACATCGTAGCTGCAGAGATGTGGGGCATTGAGGGATGGAAGGAGATGACCCGTTAATTCCAAGAGCAACTAGCAGAACAACAAACGAGGCTTAGTGCCAGGCTCTGGAGACCCAGAGAAACCTCGGGTCCTTGCAAGGTAGTGCAGGAGGAAGGAGAGTCCTAGAAGGAGGCCCAGCAAGATGCAGAGAATGGGGCCGGGATGGCCGGCAGCGACGGGGACAGGAAGGGAAGGAGTTTGCAAGCTCAGGACCAAGTCCATTCTACAGAGGCGGCCACAAAAAGCCTCCCATTTGTTCTGCCACTTGCTCATATGTTTGTCTCCCCCAGTAGATCACAAACCCCTGGAGGACCAACATCATGCCTCATTCTTCTGTTTTAAAGGCTCATCTATGGCCATTTGGGTTATGAAAGTAATACAGATCCTTGTAGGAAATCAAGGGAATACGGGGAGCTATAAAGAAGGAAATTAAACCATCAGCAATCCAATCTTCCAGAGCTGGCCTCTGTTCATGTTTTAGTATGTTCTTTTACACATACACGTGCATCTCTCTCCTTTGCTCTCTCGGTTTCGCTCCTTCCTCCCCTGCCCCCCTCTGCCTTCCTATCACACGGTGTGGGCTGCTTTGCGATCTGCTTTTCCAGTTAAGAGTGGCATGGGGCGTCCTCACATGCTTTTCTCCCGAAGCAAGGTCTGCAATGGCTGCACCGTACTCCATTTTATGGATGGACTGCAGTTATTCCTCTTGCCGCCCCCCCCCCCCCCGCCACCCAGCGCATTACCACGCTGGGCACAATACATCTTTGTTGAAGGGAACAGAAGTCAAGACTTAAGGGAAGGCCTTACAGAATAAGCATTTGCCGACTCTCTCCCCGCTGGCTAGTTTCACTGTGCCCACAGAACAGTAGATATGCAAATTGTTGAGATTGTTTGGGGATTGTGGGGATGAGGATTAAGGAGAAACGACATTTTTAAAAGCACAGCATTTGCAAAGCTGCGTGGGCACTGCAGTGGGAAGCTGCCGGAATGCGTGCAGGGCGGCCCCGAGAAGTCAGCCAGGGGCTGCTGACCTCCAGGAAAAAAACACCTGATCTCCTTCGCATCCAGACAGGGTGGCTCCTGGCTCCCCCTGCTCTCACCTCTACCTCTGCACTGTTCCAGAGACCTCCCCTCCACCTCTGCGGTACCTCTTATCTGTCTCCTCTTGTCCTTTCCAATTCCCAGGAGCTGGGATACCTGTCGTGGAGGGGCAAAGCCAGGGATCTGCCCTGATTTCAAATCCCAGTTTTACCACTTATGTTCTGCATGACCCTGGGCAAGTAAACTCGCTGGGCCTCAGTTTCTTCACTGTAAAATGGGAACTCCAGTAGCTTGCCCCGGACACCCAGACTTCTTGCCCCCGTGCGCTGTGCCTGCAGCTCATCCCCCACCAGTCCCCATCATCGGGTGTCTGATCTCGAAGCTTCTCTGAGCAGCGGTTGCTAACGTGTGCAAAGATCCCTGCATGGGGCTACAGCCTATGCAGAGTTTTCAGGTCTCGGTTTATCAGCCAGCCCAGGGCCGGCCCTTGCCTTCTCACTCGGCACCACCTCTTACAACCTCAGACCTGTCGTGGTCCTGGACATGGCGCATCTGAAGCAGAACTCTGGGTTCTCCCCCGCCGCACCTGCTCCTCCCTCTGCCTTCCTCTCAGTGAATGGGGCCTCCCTCCTCCCTGTGCTCGAAGATCTGATGTCCTTGGTTCCTCTTCCTCTCCTTCCCACGACCAGTCCCTCAGTGCATTCTGTCAGCTCTACCCTCAAAATAGAGCAACAATCTGACCACTTCTCACCACCTCTACCCAGGGCTATCTTGACCCAAGCCTCCTAATTGGTTTCCCTGCTTCTCTCTTCCCCTCCACCATCCATTCTCAATCCAGCAGCCAGAGTGATACTCGTAAAATGTCAGTCAGAGTATGTCATTGCTCTGCTCAAGACCCTCCACTGGCTTTCTTCTCATTCACAGTAAAAGCCAAAGTTCTCACAGTGGTCTACAAAGCTCTCCATGATCTTTCCCCTGGGCATAGCTTGTGACCCTCCCCAACTCTGCTCCTGCCATAAGGGCCTCTTGCTGGTCCTCCACCATGTCAAGCACATTCCCACCTCAGGACCTTTGCACTTGCTGTTCCCTCTGCTCTAAGACAGCCACATGGCTTGCTACTTGTTTGTTTCAAATCTCTATTCAAATTGTGACTAGTGATTTCAAGTCTTTATTAAATAGCAGCCTTACCCCAACTCTGGCAGTCCTTGTCTCCCCACCCCCATACACAGAGAGCAGACAAGTTAATATTTCTAGATCAACTATTTTCTTGGAAGATCAGATTATTCAATACTCTTTAGGTATTTTCATCAGGAAAATGTCAGGTGGTTTAAGTGCTATAGATAAAAATGATTTATTTATATATTATTTACTAACTTATTTTCTGTCTTCCTCTAGATTCCTTCCTTCCTTAGACTATAAAGTCCATGAGGTAGGGACTTTGTTTTGCTTACTTAGTGCTTACGATGAATGAATGTCATCCATGTCCTGGCTGCAGTTACGAACTCTAATAAATGACTCACAAATTTTCATATTGTTAGCTCAGACCTTCACTATTGTTAAATGGCTGTTTAAAAGGCACCTTACACTCAACCTGTACAAAACTGAGCTCTTCTTCTTCTCCCAACCTGTGCCTCCTTTCATGTTCCCTTTATTAATTGTCAACAACATCATTCAACAGACACCAACTACGTGCCGGGCTCCGGATAGAGCCGTGAACGGGCACAGACTCATCTCTCGTGGAATAGACATTCTAGTGAGCCTTTGTTCCTCTGGGCAAGCCAGCCATCATATTAACCTTGACACTCCTCTTCCTCATCGTCCCCCCCACAGACAACCCAGCACCAAGTCAAGGGGATGTTTACTTCCTAAATACTGTATAATCCATTCCTCTCTCTCTATCACTACATGCCAGGCTGGACTGCGATCATCTCTTGCCTGAACAATGACAACCCCTAACTGGACCAGAAGCCACTCTACCCTTCCAATCCATCTTCCATCCTGCAGATTCGATCAACTCCTTTTTGTCATGCACCCCCCAACCTGGCTGCAAACTCTTCAGTGGCTTTCCACGGCTCCCTCTCTCTCAACTCCAACAGCCTTCCCCCACCCCATTCACTTACGATGCCCCTCCTGCCACAGGCCCTTTGCACTTTCTGATGCCTCTGATGAGAGGCTCTGCCCCCCAGGCTGTAAGCTCCAGGAGAACAAGGCTATATCTGTTACACTCACCCTCATATCTCAGGGTCCAGCACAGCGCCCAACACCTGGCATTCGTCAAGTGAAGAAATGAATGAAGAGGTGTAACGAGTATCCAGTGAAAACACATAAAACTCCTAGTATAGTTACTCCACACTCAGAAGGCATTAACCATCATTAAATCCCTCGGCCCCTTTCCCTCAGAGGGTTCCCAGAACTTGGGAAGGGAAAGTCATTGTCAATGCCATCTGTTTTCTTTTGTCCTTCACTTCAAAGTCTAAATGATGTGGATAAACTGTAGAAAAACCTGACTATACTCCCAAGCTAGCATGAGGGTGTTGAAGGGGGAAGAGGGTCAAGCTGTGGACTGTCTCACTTTGCCCGCATTCACGGAGCAGGTGGAGGCCCAGCAATTAGAGAAGGGGCTGTCTCGAGTGTGTGGGACCTGAGGCTGTCTTGGGGGCTTGCATGGTGACCAAAGAGAACACGACATCTACATAAGATGCCAATAGGAGATGCCCCTCGCCAGGAACCTTGAGAAGAGGACACAATTCTCACACTCAGACTTCACGTCCTAAGGGTCTCCTTCATGGCTGCACAGGGAGTAAGCGTGCGGCCACTCCAAGCAAATCTGGTGGGAAGGAGACTGGAGCCCATCTCAACGGGAAGGCAGAGATGGGGACACACAGTGAGAAAGAGGCAGCCAGGAGAAAAAGGAGGCATGCCCAGGAGTGGCCACACCGCACCTGATGGGTGGGGGAGGAGCCAGAAACAAAAGCAGGGACAGAGCCAAGCATCCCCAGCTTGACTGGCCAGTGGGACCTATGTGAGAGCCGGCAAGTGGCCTGGACAGGCTCTCAGGCCAGGAGGCTGGGCAGTCTCCACTCCCCCGCCTCCCCCAGCCTGCACTGGCCGGGCAGGGGCCACGCCGTCGGCCACAGGAAGGGAGAGCGAGTGTGCGCTTCTCCACAGGTCAGGGAGCATCGGCTGGGCCAAGTGCCAAAGACTCTCAGCAAGCCCAGCCCTGCCTGCCCTGAGAACTTGGGGCGGATCCAGGCATGGCAGAGGGCCATCAGGAGCACTCATCACCACCCTGACCCCCAGGAGGAAGGAGGCCCACCAGTCGGGGAGGTCAGATGCGACAAAGGTGTCTTTGGAGGGTAGTTCTCGCTCCCCTTTGCCCTCCGTGGATTCCACAGACGGGTAGAGCGGCCCAACTGCGTTGCAGGTAGGGAGACAAACGGCCATGGCTGGGCCTGGGTCAGGCCCCCCAGGCCCCCCTGGGGAGCTCCCCGGGGCCTCAGGCCGTCCCCTCTGCGCGCTGCGGGCGGCGCGGGCAGGTACCTGGCGGCCTCCGACTGGAGGCGGGGGGGCCCTTGACGGCGCACTCGGTCCTCCAGCGCTTGGGCCGCACCCGAACACCTGGCCGAAGCCGCCGTTGGCCCCCCGGCGCCAGTCGCCCTCGAAGTCGTCGCGGGTGAAGACGGCGAGGCTGCCCAGCCTCTGTTCCAGGCCCGCGGCCATGCGATCGGCGGCCGCCCGGTCCCTCCGGGCCCCGCGCACTCGGTCCGCACCCGGCACTGGGCTGCAGGCGAGGCTCGAGGCTGGCGGGCGTCCTGCCTTCCTGCCCCTGCGGCCCTGGAGGTGGGGATGGGGAGGCACCGGCACTCCCCGCTTCCGCCCCGGGCGGGGACACCCAAACGGGAGTCCTGGGGCCCCAGCAGCGATGGACCCTGGCGGGCCTGGGAAGAGGGTCCTTCCCCCGCCTCGAGGCACCGCCCCCAGAGCCCCTCTGCACCCCAGCACCCTTCCTCAGTCTCAGCCGTCCGTTTGTACCCCTGCAGTCACCCTCGGGCGAGGGGAGGTGCCTAGAGAGGAAGGTGTCCTGAAGGGGAAGCCGGAGAAGGGGCCCCCTTGATTTCCACCAAGCCCTAAGTGGAAGTTGATTTATTTATTCTTGCTCACATGTACCAAGGGTTTCTGAAGGGGTGAGGACTGTGCTAGGGGTCTCTGCCAATGGGTGTGGGGGCCTGGAGCCCACCCCTCCACCTCCACGGCAAGAATGGAGTCAAAAAGTTGCATTGGAGGGCGCCTGGGTGGCTCAGTTGGTTAAGTGACTGCCTTCGGCTCAGGTCATGATCCTGGAGTCCCTGGATCGAGTCCCGCATCGGGCTCCCTGCTCGGCGGGGAGTCTGCTTCTCCCTCTGGCCCTCCCCCCTCTCATGTGCTCTCTCTCATTCTCTCTCTCAAATAAATAAATAAAATCTTAAAAAAAATTTTTTTTCTTCAAAAAAAAAAAAAGTTGCAGTGGGGATTTTCGGGTCTGCATCTTTTGGCCTAACTGGTTTAATGTTGCCTTTTATTGTTGGGGTTTTTGTTTTGTCTCTTTGTCAACCAGTCTTGGTGTGCTGAAGGTCACCAAGAAGGGGTCAGCAGGAACAGTGGGGTGAGAGGTTGGGTGCCTGTCTGCGGGGAGCTCCCCTTCCTGGCATTGCTCTCTGTCCCACTCTCAGAGGGACTGGCACCTGATCTGGGGTTGGCCATGGGGGAGGTGGACTCCTTGGCCCAGTTACTGGGGTGGCTTGTTGCCAGGGTCCAGGGATGAGGCTCAGGGAACAGCAAGACTGTGACCATGGCCCCATCCTTGAGATGGGATCAGCACAGAGCAGTGTCTGGGCCGTGGAGGAATCTGGCCCAAGGGCTCAGTGCAGAGACTTGGGGCAGGAGGGGAGAAGATGCACCTGCAGAGGATTGAATAGGCAGGTGTCCTCAGGTGCATTCTAGGGCAGGTGCTGCTGGAGGAACTGTCACCAGACAGGGCCGGATAGGTCACTTCTGACCTGCAGCTGGGCAGGTGGACTGCAGTCCACAGGGTACCCCCAGAGTGACCATCCCCAAGTTCAAGGAGCCCACCTAGCATGGGAGGAAATGCCTTACCTCTGGCCCAAACCTGTAGAACCTCTCACCATGACCACTATGAGACTCTTAGGGAATCGTGGGGGTGTGATGGGTGAGTAGAGACCCCAGGGGGAAGCTGGAGAACTCATTCTTTCCATAACAGTTTCTGTGCACCCCAGGATAAATTCTGGTAAGCAGGGTAAGGACTGAAGGTGGGCCCAGGGACAGCTGTCAAAGGGACCCTTGACAGCCACTACTGAGCATTAACTTTGTTCCAGCATCACTATGGACTTTGCCTACTATCCGTACTTTACAAATACGATCTTGTTTAAACCCACAACAACCATTATGAGAGCAGCATCTTCCTGTTTACAGGTGAGGGGACTATACTTGAAGACAGTAAGTAGTCAACGGCCACATAGCTAGTTAAGTGGTGGTTGAGATTCAGAGCCAGGTCTGTTAGGTTCCGATGGAAAATTGTTGGGCACAGGAGGAGTAGGTGGGTGGCCCTTTAAGACTATAGGGGGAAACAGGGGAATAGAATCGCACTTCCTGGAAGAGAATAGATGGGATGGAACCTGCACCCTGAGTAGGATATGGACCCCAAAGTCGTTGTCACAGGGAGACCCATGGCTTGCTTTGGCTGGAGCAGGGCAGGGCATGGCAGAACTGATGGTCCCTTGGGCAGCCCTGCTTACCCCTGACAAGTCTCAGACTCTTCCACCTGGAAGCTTGGAGGATGATGGAGGACATGATTGTCAGGGAGGTCGGGAGCTCCAATGGGTGGGTGAGAATGGAGATTGGAAGGTGAACAGCCCGCTGGTCTTGAGACTGTTTGCCTCAGGCCCAGATTTCTGCCCTTCAACACCATCTTCAGAGGCCCCTGGAGGAAGCACCAGGGTCAAATGGCCTGAATCCGTTGAGGAAATACCCCTGCCCTGGTGAGAGCAAGAAACCAGAAGCCTCCTGGCATCTGCAGAGACCATGACAGGAATGCTGAAGCATCACCCTTGTAGGAGGAGACACCCAGGGCTCAAGGCAGGCTGCCAGGATCCCAGATAGAACTCCTCTGTGAGTTTTGTTCAGGGGTGGAAGTCGAGGGACACGTAGGCGCAGGTGTGTGTTACGGCTGACCAACTGCTGAAACAGCCAAGCAGTGGGTTCAAGCACTCTTGAGACTTCTGAAGAATCTGGCCAAATAAATATGTGCACATATTCATAGCAACTGGAGTCATTAGACTGGCTTGGGCTGCTCCCTTTATCTCACTCCTGGAGGCCAGGACGAAAGCCTAGCCGTGGGTGGATAAGCCCTGGGAGTAACGTCAGAGAAGCAAAGAACTCCTAGGTTCCTCATCAAGTGGGTTGAGGCTCAGGGATTTAGGAAGGAGCAAAGTAGACCTGGGAGCTACTGATTTTTTTCTGGGGGTCTGAGCGCAGAAGTTCCTGGGGCCGGCCTGGCTGGCAAGTCTGCAGCCAGTGAGTGGGGAGGACACAGCTGGAGAGGAAGACTTCGCCTTCAGCTGCCTGTTCCTACCCGTGAAGGGATGAATGAGGTGGGTACAGTCTGACCACGACACAAACCCACCGGAAGGGGCAAGAAGTATGTTCTAGCCATAGGAATTTTGCCTCCAGATGCTGAGTCCCTCCTGTTGACTTCTATCACTGTATTTTATTTTGGCAGATGGGGGATGGAAATTTTCTGGACTTGGATTTCTGCACATTGATTTTATATCCCGGACTTGGAATTATTATATGAAGTGTGTGTGTGTGTGTGTGTGTGTGTGTCTGGGGAGACTAAAATTTTCAGCCTGCCACCCCCAGACCAGGGAGCAGATAGAGCAGTTCTGCAACACTCTGGACGATGCTGAAATCCAACACGAGCCTTTCCCCAAACTGGAATGGCAAGCTCTCTGCATAGAGGGAAGTTCCCCAGTCTGTCCCCATTCTCCACCCTGCAAACATGTCACGGGACAGCTGGACAAGCTCCAGCAGGCTCCAAACTCCACTACCCTATGTACCGAGGTGAGGGCCAGGTCGATCAAGATGAAGGAATGTGTATAGGGAACCAGAACATCTGCCCCGGGAGCAAGGCTGTCCCAGAGAGGAAGGGTTGGGATGCAGCAGGAGGAGCAGGGCTTAAATGCAAGAGCCTATGAGTCAGTGAGACCTGCCTTCAAACCCGGGCTTTTCCCCCACCACTTACCAGCCACTGGGCCTTGGTCAACATTACCAAATCTCTGCGTTTCTCCATCTGTAAAATGGGATGGTAATATAATACCCACTTCAGAAGGTTGCTGTAAGGATTAACCTTTAAAAATACACTTAAACCCACACCTTTAGGCAAAAACAAAACAAACAAAATAAACAAAAACAAAAGAACCAACCCAAACTTCGCACATTATCCAAAAATTAATACAAAATGAATCGTGGACTTACTTACATATAAAATGTAACAGTATAACACCTTCAGAAAAAAAAAAAAGATGAAAATCTTCTGGACCTAGGGCTAGGCAGAAAGTTCTTAGGCTGAACACCAAAAGTGCCATCCATGAAGGAAATGTGGATAAATTGGATTTTTTTTTAAGATTTTATTTATTTATTTGACAGAGAGAAAGACAACGAGAGAGGGAACACAAGCAGGGGGAGTGGGAGAGGGAGAAGCAGGATTCCCTCCCGCCTAGCAGGGAACCCAATGCGGGGCCCGATCCCAGGACCCTGGGATCATGACCTGAGCCGAAGGCAGACGCTTAGCCGACTGAGCCACCCAGGCGCCCCAGTTGGAGTTTTTTCTTTTCTTTTTAAGATTTTATTTACTTATTTAACAGAGAGAGAGAGATAGAGACAACGAGAGAGGGAACACAAGCAGGGGGAGTGGGAGAGGGAGAAGCAGGCTTCCTGCTGAGCAGGGAGCCCGATGTGGGGCGCATCCCAGGACCCTGGGATCATGATCTGAGCCGATGGCAGACGCTTAACGACTGAGCCACCCAGGCGCCCCAGTTGGAGTTTTTTCAACATTAAAAACTTTCCCTATGAAAGATGCCGTGAAGAGGATGAAAAGTCAGGGTATGGATGGAGAGAATATTTACAAACCAGACATTTGACAAAGTAGTCATTTTCCCCCATACCTCGATTTTAGAGTGATAATCCCTGTAATCCAAGGGCTGGGGTTTGGAGAACCTCTGCCCTCAGCGGATGTTTCTCTAATTCCTGATGCCAGGGGCGTGGATCAGGGACCGAGACCATATTAGGGCCAGGAGGAGTGTTCTGCTGTGTCTGATTTTTTTTTTCACCCTGATGATGCTCTGCTATAATTATAATAGAAATGTTGAGGAGATTTATCTAGTTCACTCAAAGGCATTTTATACTATCTAGCACAGTGCTTGGCACATAGTAGGTGCTTGATAAATATTTATTGAATGAATGAGGAGCTTCTCAGGATCAAGACGCCATTTAAATGACCTTGGCCGAGGAGCAGCTTAATGGAAGGCCAGGCTCTGGGCTCCCCACCCCGTCTGAGGGTGGACAGCAGTAGGGGCCCTGGCCTGTGCCCGCCACTGCCCCACACCTCCGGTAATGTGTGGCGCCAGATCGGCTGCGAAGGTAATCCTTTGCAGTGGGGAGACTTAAGCTGTTATCTAACTGACCGATGATGGATTAGCGGGGCTTTCAGATAAAACCTTAAAGGGGTTAGGGTTTTGCTTTCCCCTTCACGCTCGGGGAGCGAGTGAGGACTGGCCACCTCCCTGTGCAGCCTGGCCAGGAAGTTAACAAGAGGAGAGACAGGGCTGGGCAGTGGGCAGCAAGGTTCAGGGCAAAGGCCAGATTTGGGGCCTGCTTCAGCCATGATTTCCTTGGGAAATTCTGGACAAGACGTGGGGTCTCTGAGCTTCTCTTTCATGGCCTCAGATGGGAAATAATGGCTGCCCAAAAGGGGCGTCATAGGCATGAAGTGAGAGCAGAGGCCTGAAAGCCCTTGTGAGGGGGTTAGAACTACTTCCCTGTGGGAGGGGACAGAAGGGACAGACCGCAGGCCAAAGGTGTTGCTGGAAACCCCAGGACTATGTGGGCGGGACCTTGAATGAGGCCTTTCGTCCAGATTTGTATACACCTCATTCTCTTTGGCTTGTCCACAAAACTTCTCACAGCAATCTTCCAGGTCGTCCAACTAGAATCTAAATTCTAGTCGTAGAGGCAAAGAACATGAAGACACAGGAAACAATTCCGCAGGAATGAAGTATTTAAAAGTGCAGACCGAGAGAAAGGCGGGCGGCGTGGGCTGCGCCCAGTAGGGCGGTTCCGTGCAATCCTGGGCCAGCCGCTTGGTCCCTAAGCGTTCTCATCAGTAAAGGGAGAATCATATGAGCACTCACGTTGTTCGGCAGGATCTGAAACCTAGTGAGTACTTAATAAAAAGCACCTGCCATTTTTATGATGTCGGAGCTTCGAGGATGGGTAGGATTTGAAGAGAGGGAAGAAGGTGTTTTCAGTGAGGAGGGGGCAGAAGCAAGACAATGGGAATGAGCAGAATGTACGCAGACAAATACTGGGGAGCTGGCCCAAGGGAACAGAGTACGTGGCGGGGAGCCACGGTCAACAAGCATGCCTCAGGCTGCGTGAGGTGCTGAGCCCCACTGCGAACCACAGGATCAGCTAGCTGAGGTGGGGCCAGAATATGACCCTAAACCCAGGCCGGCTTTAAGGCTCAGCGAGATCACACCGAATGGACCATGTGTGATTTTACCAATATTATTTTTTTTAAGATTTTATTTATTTATTTGTCAGAGAGAGAGAGACAGAGAGCACAAGCGGGGGGAGCTGCAGGCAGAGGGAGAAGCAGGCTCCCTGCCGAGCAGGGAGCCCGATGCGGGGCTCAATCCCAGGACCCTGGGATCATGACCTGAGCCGAAGGCAGATGCTTAACCCACTGAACCACCCAGGCACCCCTATCAATATTATTTATAGGAAAAAATACTTTGGGGGTATTAATAGGTATGCATGTTTTAAATTATACTGAAAACCTATGAATCATAGCTCTTATATGCAGTGCAAGGAGTGCTTATAAATCTTAACAGTAGTTCATGTAAAATAATTGGCTTTATCAGCAAAACTTCAGAAAAGTAAAGAAGTGCTATGTTCTTACCATCCCCCACCTATATGCACACCCCCTGATACACCCCCCCCACACGAACACACTCACCAGCAGGGGGGGTTGCCCTTGATCCTGTGGGCAGTTGTGAAAGTGGCTGAAATAGGGTTTAAGAGGATTATTTGGGCTGCATTGTGCAGGGGGCTCAGAAGACAGAGTGGGGACAAGGGACCCAGCAAAGAGGCTATTCCAGCGCACCTTTTTCTGACCCCCTTCCCTCAGAAACTGAGGATGCAGTGTGGAGTTCCCATCGAATGCTCATCTCCATCCCCCGGGCTCTCCCGTGCCTGCCTCCACCCTCACCTCCATTCCCACCGGCCATCCTCACCGGCGCTTCTGCAGGCCAGTCTACACCCCGGGTAACACTTCTCTATCCTCCGCTTTTGGGCAGAGTCACATACCAACCCCTCTGACCCTGACAAGAATCCTCATAAAGAACTCTGGAAAAGAGCACATAAGGATGGCCAGGCCGGGGGTGCCTGTGGAAGCAGCCGGCTCAGTACAGTGACAGCAACCGTAGCTACCGTTTCCCGCGGGCTTGCTGTGTGCCCAGCCCAATGCCGAGAGCCTTCCAGAAACCATCTCCTTCAATCCTGACCTCAAACCTACCCCCACCTTCTATGGATAAGGCGATGGAGGGTCTCGGCAAAACACTCACAGTGTGAAGTTAGAACAGGTGGAGCTGGGCCCTGAGCCCAGGCTTCCAGACCCGGAACGGGCACTCCAGCTTCCAGGCCTTCTGCTTCCCCGAGCCTCCTGTGAGCGCTCGCCCTTCTCTGCACCCTTGGCTCAGAGGTTCTCACGCAGCGGGGACAACTCGGCCTTTGGGAGTCTTGGTTTCCTTATTTGTAAATGATGCAGCGTGGGCTAGACACGTGAATTGTATTTAGCTAGTGAAATCAGATGGATTCCAATAAAGCAGATGTTGGACTTGATGGTCCCTGAGTTATTTTCAGCTTGAACATTCTAGAAACCTTTGTCCTCATTACCCATTTCAGTATTTCTCACTATTTTTGTGGGCCTTTGGTCTGGCCTAAGTCCTCACTGCATGTGAACCCATTTTTAGGTGGAGACTCCTTTGGGCAGATTGAGTGGACCGCAGGTCCATGAGTGTGGGCGGAGCTGCGGCTCGAGGGGAGGGAGGGCCCTCCCACGAGCAGCTGCAGCGCCGGAAGATTAAGAGCGAGAAGGGGGGGGGGGCGGCGGCGCCTGGGTGGCTCAGTCATTGGGCGTCTGCCTTCAACTCAGGTCATGATCCCGGGGTCCTGGGATCGAGCCCCACATCAGGCTCCCTGCACCGCGGGAAGCCTGCTTGTCCCTTTCCCACTCCCCCTGCTTGTGTTCCCTCTCTTGCTGTGTCTCTCTCTGTCAAATAAATAAATAAAAAATCTTACAAAAAAAAAAGCGCGAACGGGAAGTTGGAGATAGCCGTGTGACAGGCAGCCACGCTCACACCGAGCAGTGCCTCTCAACCCACCGGCCTCAGCCCAGAACTGGGCGGACCCGAGGCTGGGGTGGCCGGGAGCAGATGGGCAGTCCCTGCTGTTGCTGTTAGCATCCAAGGGCCCCTTCTACCCCTGCCTGAGAAATCAGATCCTGGCCCCAGGCAAAATCTCCCCCTGGGAGAACCCATTCTTCATGTTGCTGTTTTGAATCTGAGATCAAATTAGACGTCTCGTTTAAAAAAAAAAAAAAAAAAAAGTCATCCAGTTGGTTTCAGATCCCAGAAGCCCAGTCAGGGCAAGGTGGCCACAGGAACACCGGGAGCTGGTTGTCTGGGGAGGGGTGGGGGTGACAGCCAGCTTTTGTTCACGCTCCTTTTCCAGGGCACTCAGGGAGGGGGCCCTGCAGCCCCTGCCGGTATCTTGATGAATGAGCACAGTCCTTGGAATCAACGGGTTTTCCTGATTCTAAACTGAGGACAAACAGCCAATGACAGGGAGCATCTGTGTGGCAAGGGGGCTTGGAGGCCCTTCCTGTGTCAGGGTTCCCAGCCCGCTGCATGCTGGGCCCTGGGCTCACCCAGGGCCTGGTCACACGTTCCCGGCAATCAGCACTGTCACACCACCAGTGAGCGCTGCTCAGAACCCCACCGGGCCCAGGCCATCAGACTTTGATGCCTGGGTAGTAGATGGGCAGGTCTCAGGGGACCCTCGTGTTTGCCACCGGGCACGGGAGAGAGGGAAAGGCAAACGTAACAGCCAGATAACTGCTCGCTTTCACTGAGATGGGGGTACGTATGAGATGAGCAGATTTTGGTGAGGGTGGGAGGACGCAGATGGTGAGTTCATGGTTAATTTCTAACCTAGAAATAATAGTCACCATGAAGTAAATGCCTTCTGTTTTCCAGTCACTGATGCCAAGCACTTCGTGTATGTTATATTCAAATCCAAGAATTCTGCAAGTAGGGACTGTGGCCCCCACTTGATAGAGAGGAAACTGAGGCTCAGAGAAACTAGAAGACTTTCCTCCAAGCCATGCCCCCTAGTGGAGGAACGTTTACGGGGAGTGAAATTCTGGCTCCCCTACTTACCAGCTCTGTGATCCTGGGAAGGACGTACTTACCGTCTTTATATCTTAGTTCTTTACCCATCACAGGGTCTTTGTGATTCTTTGTGAGGCTTCTATGGGGTAGGGTCTTGAGGCACCTGTTACAGTGCCTGTCATAGAGTGAATGCTCAGTGCACGGGCATCATTCACTCTCTCTCTGTGGCCTGCAGGTCACTGGCCTATGAGGACAAAGGGCCTCTCGTATGGGGAAAGGAGGTGAATTGTAAATGTTTTCTTCACCTCCAATGACTCTCTCCTCTTACAGGGCCCTCTGAAGAGCCCCTATTTTGAAGGCATTTAGAGAATAGGATGAACGTCATCTGGCTCTCCGAGCCAAGAAGTTCTTGGCAACAGATCCTCAGGAAAGTGCTTACAAAGCCGTGTCCTGCCCCTTCCTCTTATTTCCTCCCAACATTTAACCTCAGTCCTGCCTCGCTGACCCCTGGAACCATGGCCAGCACACTGTCCAGGATGGCTGTTTCCCATTGTCCCCTGACACCTCTGTGGTGGTGTCAGGGTGCTCATTAGTTCCCTATTGGTCCCATTCTCTAGGATAGACAACCCCAACTCCCTTGCCGTGGCCTTCCCAGAATAAGCTGTGGCGCAGAGAGTGGGAAGGATGGTGCTGGCATCACTCCCGATACAAGATGAACCCCTTCTCCAACACCGAGTTCATTTTTCCAGGCCGCCTGGGAGCCCTAGATGAGAGCGTGCGTCAGCCGTGACAAGACCGGGAGGGTTGGCTGGCACTGGGGACGAACGCCAGCGTGTGAGCCATCCCTCTCCACCCCGAGAGGCAGGAGCTCCTCAGGTGCAGCCGGACCCTCCTCTAAAGCAGGGAAGATTACTGCTCTCGGCAGGCACTTGGAAGCAGAGATAATAATATAATTTGATGCTCCCCGCTCTTTGGGGAACAGATTACACGTATAATAGCCATTTTCAAGAGCCTGGGAGGAGGGATGCAGCCAACGAGTGGGAGGAGGAGGGACCTGAACTTCAAATCAGGGGAGCCGAGCCTGCTGGTTATGTACACAGGCAGTCTTTTACATTTTTGAGGCTCCACTGAATTCTCTCTGGAAACAGCACATTTTGCGGCCCCTTGTTTTCTTCTCTGGGCTCTGTTTAGCATCAAGCCAACTCCCTTTGCCATTTAGTAGCCTCTCGAAGTGTGTCTGTTGGCCTACTGGGCCCGAGTGGCAGGTCCTGACCTCTCTGGTGCGGCCTGTCCCTCGCCGGCCACCAAGGGACCGTGCTAGGTACCGCCGCGAAGTGCTCCAGCGAGCTCCCTCCAGCCCCACACGGTGCACCGGTCCCAGCACGAGGGTCTCAGGGCTGCTGACTTCCTTTCGGCCCCTCAAAGTGCCAATTATTTGTCTTAGTTTCAGGAGCAGAGTTCTTAATTCACGCCGAGGGCTACCGCACTTGTCAGGAACCATTTCTTTGGGTGTACTGAATAAAAACTCTGAGGAGGGGGAGAATTTCCTTTCCTACACGGTCCAGAAAACGTCCAGCTCTGAGTCCTTAAGGGACATGGGCTTTACCCTTGCTCAGGCCCCTCAAATTTAACCCAACCAATGTCACCGTCAACCCCTTCGACCTCAAGATGGGGCCTGGTAATCTGTTTGTGTAGCACTTTATAATTCCCTGAGTGCCGGGAAGTTCATGGAGGCCTCACGGCAATACAGGTGACTGGTTGGACAGGTATTCTTCTAGCTTTTCCAGAAGGAGCAATCAAAGCTCAGAGAGGTTAAGCGACTTGCCCGGAGTCACGCAGCTGCTGGGTAGCGGGGCGGGACCGGAAGCCTTTGGAACTCTGGTCCGACACTCTCGGCGTTCACTCTAGCATGAGGGTCCTGCCACCCACCCTAAAATGGTCACGTGACTGTGCTGAGCCGTGGGAGAAGAGTGTCACTTGTTGGACTTGTCACTTAGGGACCTGGGGTCCAGAGGTGCCAGGGGCAAGGGAGCAGTGTGTTTGGGGGAGGGGGGAGTGCAGGGTGGGTTTGGGGAATAAATCCGTCGATGTTTATGGGAGGTCAGGGTGGAGACAGGTGCCCCTGCTTTGACACTTCAAGCAGAAAACCATCTAACACGTGGAATAGATGTTTATAAATCCCTCGATGCGCTGGACGAGGGCACCAGGCGGCGCTTCCGGGGATGATTCCCTGGATCGTTGAGAACCCCCTGTCAGGGGAGCCACCACCTACCGACCACTCGACCACTCAACCACCTACCACCACTGAGCACATGGCACGGCGGCAGGCCAGGCCCAAGAAGCTGCCAACACTGTCCCTGGGCCAGAACTTGGACACAGATCCTGCTGTCGAAAAACTTGATGTTCCTAGCTTTTGCCAGCAGAAAACAGCCACAGGGGCGGAAGGGCATTCAGCTGGCAGAATCTAGTTCCTGTCTAGAACCACTGCTTACAAGGGAATCTGGGAAACGTTGCTTTCCGTTTGCTGGTGTCCAGCCCCTGCAGGGCAGGAAGGGACAGTAGAAGAAAGCGTGGTGGATGCCGAGCAGTTTCCAACACAGTGGCCAGCCTGACGCCCACTCTCCCATTACTGGTGAAAACCAGAGGCAAGCATCTGAAAACAACATTCATCTCTGGAGTGGACATTCGAAAAGTCTTTATAAGCACAGGGACCCCCCATAGCACACAGTCCTGTGTTTGTGAAAATGTGCACAGACACCATGTGTCTTAATCAGCGACATACTTCATCGTCGAGTTGAGAATCTCTAGCCCATGCAGCTCCCGCAGCTGAGCAGCAAATCTGCCAGAGTCAGAACACAAAGGTGGGCACATCAGTGCCATGGGGCCCGGGGCCAGCCCCTCTCAGGGAGAAGCTGGCTGGCAAGGCGGAAGGGGAGTAGCTGCTGCCCCGGGAGCCCTAGCGATCAAAGCAGGGAAGGTGCTCAGGGAGGTCCACAAAGCACGGTAAATGCTGTGAGTGGCTGATCCGATGGGACCCTGCGCTCAGGGACTCCCAGGAAACTGCTACCCTGAGCTCATCCTAGCCAACGTGCCTTGCTTTCTGGAGAAGAAAGATGTTATCCAGGCCTTCCATTTGGACAACCCGACAGAACGTGAAAGGGCCTCAGATGTCATCCAAGCCAACCCTCCTCATTCTCCAGAGGAGGAATCGGAGGGGTTAGTCTGTACGAGGAGGAGCCAGGCAGGCCAGCGCTGCTCCCTGTCCATGGAAGGCACCCCCTTCTATGCCGGGGCCCCGTCCCTCAGACACAGGGGGGCGGCTTCTGGGAGCTTGAATGACCAGGCGTTTCAGCAGGTCAGAGCCCAGCCAGAGCAGAACAGAAGCGAAAAAAGAAGCGATGTACACAGCTAAAGCCCAGATCTCTCGCCCCGGCTTGCCAGGTGGTCTGGAACACGCCATTCTATCCCTCGCTTCGGTGTTTTCTCCAGCACAAGAACCTTACCCTCCCTGGACATTCTCCCATATGCTCAGGCCCCAGGCGAAAAAGTGAAGCAGGGGGGGATATGTGGGAAGAGGGGCGAGGAGCTGGAGGGACGGCGGCGGCAGTGAGCGCACGGAACGGATCCCTGTCCGAGGGGCATCTCCCAGCTCTGGCTGGAGGCCGGAGCTCCCCAGTGCCCTCAGGGAAGCGGCTACTGGGCCCAACACCTGTCCACACACAAAGCACCAGGGCTCATGGGGCTCCCCCTGGAGTGCTGGGTGGCACGGAGGCCCAGCTGCCGCACAGCGCCTTCAGGAGTGTGACCGACACGGGCCCAGCCCACCCCCCCAACCCCCATCCCTCCAGCCAGGAGCCGTTGCGTACCTGGGCTCGGCCGTGCACAGCTTCCCCAGAGCGATCCCCGCGTTCAGCTGCACGGCGGTCTTCTGCGCATCCCCCCCCGCGTGCCTCAACAGCACCTGCACGATGTCTGTCTTCAACAGGGGGGGCGCAGCCTGGGGCACCTCCATGCAGTTCCCCAGGCAGAGGGCGGCATTGCCCACCACCATCTCATCCTCGGAGCCGAGCAGCTTCATCAGAATGCTGAACTCTAGGGGGAGGGGAGAGAACAAGCATCTGTCCCTCAGAATCCCAAACAGGAGGCTAGCCACGGACGCGAGGGGCACAGGGAGTGTCCGTGGACACCGAGCGTCCCCAGAAGCTCTGGGGGTCATCACTCAGCAAGTATTTGCTGAGCGCTGTGAACCTCCTCAGGCCTCCTGTGTCTCCGAGGTCTCAGGAGCCCAGAGCAGTGCCCAGGGTGACACGGCTGTTGTGTGAATGAATGCTATGTGTCGGACAGGTCTGTCTTCCCTAAAGTCCCCGATCTTTACCCCTACACTCCAGAGAGAGTGACCCAAGCGGGGGGCCACAGGCCGGCTCCCTGTAGCTGCAGGGCAAGGAGCAGGACCCAGAAGAAGGGCCCGCTCAGGCCACTTCCCATGCATTCCAGAGCAGGTGCGAGGGCGAACATTAGCAGGCTGCCTCGCTGGGAACCCCGCTATGGATGCCGGCAGCCACTTTTAGTTACTAGCCTGCTCCGACGCCGGCTCCGACTCTGCTATCCTCCCAGTTCACTGAAGGTTGAAGGTGTCCCCCCACACACCCCTTGAAGGGCGAGAACCTGTGTTAGACCAGCCTAAGCAGAACACTTCAGAAACAATTTCCATTTACTTGGGGGGGGGGCTGGTTCCCCGCATCGACCCCATTATCTCTGAGCCATGTTACAGCAGAGTTTTCAGCATGCGCAGCCGAAGGCTAATTAAACGTTTCCAGAACAGGGTGACACAGCGATCTTACTCAGTAAACACTGCGGAAGTCTAGGGAGAGGTTAACAGCACTCTGTCAGTCTCTCCCCGCTCCTCATCCCAGTTCCCTTTGCAGCTTCCAGGATGGCTGAACCTTGGGATGTAGGCTCCCCTTAAGGCATCGATCACTTACTTTTATCCAGTCTTATCACTTCTTCTCGCGCTTCATGAAAGCTATTCGTGCAGACAGCTAGTGTCTTTATGGCATATCGTGAGGCAGTCTGGCCCCCCGTCTGGGTTTCAGAATGAAATCAGAAAAAGGAATCAGTCCTAGGATTGTTCTGGGCCAGAAACCAGCGAGCAGCTGTGCTTGTGTGGCTTCTGGAACTTCTGAAACACTGCTCCCCTGAGAATGGCCCACACTTCCTGGGGAGCAGGCCAGGTCCCGGTTGGAGTGGTGTCATTCACGTCCCCAGTAACACAGCCCACAGCCTGGTAGGAATTCTGACAGGGCCACGGGCCTGTCATGCACACCTGGGTAATTGCCCGTAGAAGGCTTTACGAGTGAGTGGCTGAGGAGGGAAGGATGCTGTCGGCTGGCAGATCTACCAAAAAGACGGGAAGAGCACCCCACTCCCAACCCCATGTCATTTCACCATTGGAGAATGGGGACTGACTTGCTAAGGCTGTCAGGCTGACAGGCCTGCATGGAGAACATCACAAATCTAGATCATTTTAAGAGGTGATAACTGTCAAATCATAACCCTCAAAATCACCCAGTGCAGGGTCTTTAAGATGCGCATGTGCATCTTCCATGCATAATGCACATGCGTGTGCATATGATCAGCAGGCTCTAGCGGGTGTGCGAGAGCCACATGGAGTCTGAAGTCTGACCCACCATCCCACCCCCTCAGTGTTGCCCTGCCCCAGCAGCAGCCCCCCGACGGAGCACGCTTCCTGGCCCTGCTCAGCCCACTAACATGGTGGGGTGAAGCGCACTGGGCATGGGCAGCTCGGGCAGGGGCCACAGATGGCAGCCTGGTTACTCCCTGGTCTTCTCAGTGAGTCTACTCAACTGTCGCACTGACTCGCTCAGACCACGGGAGCATCTTGTGTCCCATGGTAAGGCTGCACCCTCCGTATCCCATAAAGGGACAGTCAGCACTCTCCAGGCAGCCGGGGAAAGCACAGCGAGCAGAAGGTGAGCAAAGTATGGGCCCGTGGGACCTTGTGGAAAGCCACTCCGACCGTCTTTTTCAGGGAAAGAAGCCGTTCACTGTGAAGTGAGGCTTGCCTGGTGAGTTGGTTTTATGGCTGCTTGTCGTGAACAACTCACTTATTTGTGCAACAATCTTACAATGATGTTCAGAGTGCTGTCTGGGGTGACAGGTGGAAGGAATCCTCAGTCAAGAAGTATAACGTCGGGCAAGGGTGCAATGGTGGCCCCTAACTGAACACAGCCCTCCTTAATTCTGTCCCCTGGATGATCTATGACGCTCCTGGGAATTCAAGCGTGTGTACCCGAGTGGTTCACTCTACCTTCAGGAACTTAATCATCTTCTTCACCACTCCAGCTTTCAGGGCCTCCTCCACGATCTTCCGGGAGGAAGCAAGAGTGCGGCTGAGGACACCAGCAGCTCTCTGAGTGAAGGGGAAAGGAAAGATGATTAACCGTTCTCTTCAGAAACGCTGATGACCTTGAAAAGTCAGCAAGTAGCTTGGGGAGGCAAAAACAATCATTAGTATGGGGAGCAAAACCTGCACCTTGGTTTTACAAATGTGGAGTGGCCCTGGGACCAGCCGGGAAGCAGCGTTCATTTTATAGCTGCAGGGCAGGTCACTCCAAGGGCTGGAAACATGGCCTCTTGGCACACGGGGGCCTGGCTCACTTCAGCTCGACACACAATCGGCCAGTTCAGCTCTGGCAAAAAAAGTCCTGGACACCCCACAGAGCTCTGCAGGCCCTTTACCAGGTGGTAGACTTCTTGGATTGACCTCGGGGTCTCATAGCTTTTCCTTCATTCCTTCCTCCCTCCCTCCTTCCCTCCTTCCCTCCCTTCCTCCTCCTTCCCTCCCTCCCTCCCTTTCTTTTTTAAATAGCTAGCTGTTACTGTCTTATGGATAGAACACCATCTTGAATCCTTCCGAGGACACAAATGATAGTTATTAATTTTTTCTTCTGTTTCCTGTATCATTTCTATTTCTTTTGAGTTGATTTTTCTGTTACTCTTGGTTTTTCTATTTCTGTGTGTGGCTTTCCTGAAATGTCTGGTGACCTTAGCTGCCCATTTCTGGGCACATTTATGAAAAAGGCAGTACAAATATATTTGGGCATGCTGTGTTCATGGGGAGTTCGTTGACTGACAGGTGGAAAGGAGGCACTTCCAAATCCTAGAAAGCAAGACATTTTTCTCTGGCCTTTCAATTCCACGAGAGAAAGCAAGCTTGAACTTCCCACCTGAGGGATAGCTGCCTGGCTGCCAAAGCGTGATCCCCCATCTCTCACTCGTGCCCTGTGTGGTCCCAGTGTTGTGGAGTCTCCAACTTCTCCACGGCCTACGGGGCAGACCCGCATCCCCTATATCTGTAGACGGCACTGTTTCTTCCGCCCTGCCTCATGAATTATGCCTTTTGCAGCTATTCTCCATCTTCCAGAAAAGGGTTAAAATGATTAAAAAACTAACTGGTGACTCTTGCCTGTTTGTTTTGTCAATGCGTGTTTCAAACTTTGTTGTTGCTGTTCCCTACTGCTTTCGGGCTGATTTTAATGAGGTTCTCCCTAGGGAGAAGGGATAAATGTGTGTATTACCATATTATCAGTCTTGTGTCCCTCAGCTGCCCCCTGCAGGTGCTAGAATGTTGCTGGAGTTGACACTATAGATCTCTTTTGAGGCCCAGGAGAGTGGAAGAGCACGGGTCTCTTCTGAGGCCCTGGGGAGTGGAAGAGCACGGATCTCTTTTGAGGCCCAGGAGAGTGGAAGAGCACGGGTCTCTTCTGAGGCCCTGGGGAGTGGAAGAGCACGGATCTCTTCTGAGGCCCTGGAGAGTGGGAAGAGCACTCTACCGAAGGACCAGAGTCTGCTGGTGAAGTGCTGCTGTGCTCCACAAGCAGGTCAGCACCGGACTCAGGCAGAGGCAGAGCCCTGGGAAGGTCTGGCCAGGAGAGTACTTGAAGGGTTAGCTCAGAACTACTGTAGGCCTCGCTCTGGTCTAAACCGTTCAGAAAAACCCAAGCACCTGAGAATAGTGGAGCTCACCAGTTTTGGGGTCATGGATCTTTTTTTGAAGATCTGATGAAAGCCATGATGCCTTTCCCATGAAAATGCACATACATTCAAAATTGTCTATACAATTTTAGGGGGTTCTGGGGAACTTGGAGACCTACCACACATTCCTGGAGTTCACATTAAAAACCTCCATCCTCTCATGTCTGAATTGACTTCAGGGAATTTATAGGCATACTAGCCCCAAACAGGACTCATCAGATCTGCTCAGAACCTTTATTGTGATCCTGGACCCAGTCCCCAGTCTGTGTTCCTTGAAGGGCTGGTTTCCAGACCTGTTGGATGTCCCCTAATTGTTTCTCTAAGCACCAGGGCCCTAACTTAATAGGTGGAAAAGTTGGGGTGATTACTTATGTTAGTAAAGAACACATCCTAGGATGGCAGCAAACAGTCTGATGAATCATACTGATGTTCTCCTAATACTCTGTGTTAACCATAGGTCTTTCTTGGCTTTCTTATCCAAATGTTAGAAACAGAAATGAGAAAGCCATCCCAGCATGTATCTCTAAGGGGACTAAAACCATTATGCATAAACAACTTCAAGGATCATGGGCTTCAAAATACACGCCTGGCTTTCTTGACTACAGAAAAAAAGAGATTCTAAATAAAATCTTGTGGCCTGTCCAATTTGCACCAGGATATCTTGGAATAGGACAAATCAGATAAATTACATTGTATAAGTTGGTAAGTTGCAAACTATACAGAAAAGAGATTCTTAACTTGGGTCCATGGACTCTAGGGGGTCCACAGAGGGGCACTGGGTGGGGGCGTCACCGAATCCCCAGGAACAACAAAGGAAGTGGTTTCTGGATTTCCCTGGGAGACACTTACTGTCAGGATCCCTCCATCTTGGCTGTTCAGTAGAAACATGCACCTCCTGCTCACCTCCAAGGCCCAAACCTGCCATGACAGGGAGAGAGGAGGAGGTCTGAATGGCCTATTAATGTGAATCCATTATGGAGCTTCTTCTGAGCAAACAGAACTGACCTCTCGCTCTTCAGCAGGGCCATGCTCCGTCCATATTTCCCTCACAACCCCTTCTATCACTCTTACATCTTCCCACGGCTGTCTCCCTAACTACAGGGCAATACCTTGAGATCAGAGACCATATTTTTTTGACTTTGTAAATGCAGAACCTAGCACCATGCTCAACACATCCATTTTTTGGATGAACACCTGAGTGACTCATCTATTTCTCAGAGGAACAAAGTGACAGAGCATCTGTCCAGCATTCCCCGTTCCCGCCGCCAGGGTTTGAGTCCCTGTGCTATATTCTCTTTGTGAAAATGAGAGCAGTTCTAGCAATGGCACAAGCCTGGGGTGTCCCAGGGCTCCTAGCAGGGAGGAAAGAACACCGCACCTCACAGACGATGGGGGACTGAAGACACAAGTTCATCACAAGTCCCAGGAGTGTGTACAAGACCTCTCTGAACAGGTCCACATCCTCCTCACATCTGGCCTTTGGAAACAAAGCAAAGTAATCAATGACCTTTGTGCCCTGCAGCTTTTCATGGCCATCTCATCCCCTCGGCAATGGCCCCAGCATTACTTACCCTCCCTAAATTGTCAATGTCATGAACCTAGCGGATGTTGGAAGATCAGAGACCAGTTCCATGGATTGGTGTTAGTGTAGGAGACTGGCCAAGAGTCTCCAGTGCTGTGCCATGTCACTCTGGTTCAGCCTGGTCCATGAGCTGTTGACGTGGGTAGTCAAGCCAACTCCACCAGAAAATCCTTCAGACCTCTCCAGGGGGGCTGAGGCTTGCCCTGGAGGGCACTGTAAGGCTGGCCACCCATAAAATCCAAATTGTAGAAGGAATAAGCCACTGATGCCGTACCCTCAGAAGTTTTGGAAAAGCCAGATAATCAACAAGAAGCCAATGCTCCCAAAGCAGGGAAAAGACGAATTCTGACTAGAAAAATTACAATACCATGAGGCCCAAGCAGGCCTCCCGGAACTCTTCAGAAGCAGACATCTGTCTTCGGATGGCGGCCTCAGCACTGAGGTTCCCCATGAGGGCAATGCACCGGCAGAGAGCTGTGGGGTTGGTTACCATGGGATCTCTCTTCTGAAAGCGAGTCAAGAGAAAAAAAAGTCTGCAGAGAGCAGGCAAACAATGCTGGAGCAATCTCTAGGGGCGTCCCTCACTCTCAAAAATGCCTGGGAACCAGAGAGTATAATGTCACCCAGGGGCATCAGTGGGCTCACACTGACACCAGGATGGAGGCACACAGAGGGGGAGACCCAAAAGCACTTTAGCCTGGAATAGAGGGGCCTAGGGCTTCACCCTGGGGATGCCACCAAGCAGCTGGGAGAATGTGGGCAAGTCTTCTCCCTTCTCAGAGCTCCCATTTCCACATGTGTGGAATACGGGAGTGTGGATATGCTCTCAGATCCCGAGACTTCTCTGGCCCCCTTGGGACAGGTCCCCGTCATAGCATGCTCTCCTAGGAGAACCCCACCCTGCTAAGTCCTGTGTCATAGGCTCAAATTACCACTTGCCCTCCTGGTGGGGCTGACTGCCATTGAGAGAACAGGGCAGCCCTGCAGTCCTTATGACGGGTATTAGGGTCAGAAGGGGACGGACTGGGACAGACCCCCTCTCTCCGCCTTCACCTAAGACGCACAGTCCACATCCCCTTTGTCTCCCCCGTACCGGCCCCATCCATACGCCATCTCCACCTGTCCCGACGGCAGTTGTTTTAATAACTGAGAATTGTGTAAATTCCAGCTGTGAGTAAATGACTAATCAACCTGAGAGACGACAGGAGCCCTGGAGTGTAAACTGTGTTTGAATGGCTCTGCTCACGTGCCTGAGAATACCTGTCACGGGTGATAAAAGTGAGGGGCTTGCTCACCAGAACGCTTGTGAGTGCCAGGAGCACCCCTGGAAGGTTGGCCTGGAACCAGACTTGGAATCTGTTGAGAAAATATTCCCATGATTTATTTCTGCACCGCATAAACTAGAACATGAACACAGAGTCTTGGACAATGGACCAGCCTGTCACAAACTCTGGGCCCATGTGATCTGCAGCATGCACGTATGGTTTATTCTGAACCACCCCCTCCCCCCCACAAATGTCACTGGGTATGTAACGTGGCTTTAATTTTTCTAAGTCAGGAGAATTGCCTTTGATGTTAAACAACAGATCTCAGATGGCAGCTTTCTCAAAGCAGAAGCTGCTGGAAGCCCTAGATTTCTGCCAAGCTGACTCGCCGCCACCCCTGCCCTCCCCTTGCTCTGAGCCTGTGTGCCCTGCAAACAGGAAACACAGTGCAAGCATGTTTCTGGACCACGGTCGTGGGGAAGGCCCAGAGGCACACACGTCTGCACCTGCGAGGGAGGCTCTTACCTGTTCCCAGCCCATGCCAACGGCCTACGAGCACAAACAGCTCTGTCTCATTATATGGCCATTTCTAAGCAAGACACCCTAAAGTTTGTGAGGAAATTTAAAAACAGACAGAAGATGTACTTAAAAAAACCCTCAAGAATTACGAAAATCTAAGACGCTTGCTGTTTTTCCCAGCAGCTGGTGGAGATGGGGGGGTTACCCACAAGGCCACTGGTAACCCACGGGGAGGCTACCTTCCACTGTGCCGTCATTCAACACACACTTGCTGGGCAGTTCCTATTAGGCACTGATGAAGGGAAAGAAGCTTCTCCACTACCTAGTAGGCTTGTTTACTGTGAGAGGTACTGTTTGAAGTATGCTGTTGCTTCCAAACCCATCGAGGACTGGGTCCCCCTGCACGCAGAGGGACAGGAGTGGCCAACTCCAGCCCCCTGCTTGGAAGGCATCAGCCCTCCTACGCAGTGAATCTTGTGATGCTCAGTTGGCCAAGCCTCCCTTCATACTGCACATTTTTAAAGATCAGACAGTTTAACAAAGGTTGAAGAAGAAATGTCAATTTCTGGAAATAAAAATTACCTTTCTTCCAGAGCCAAGTCCATGAGTAGTCCCATAGCTGAGTTGGCCTCCTTATCTGAGAAATCAAGAAATGACACCAAGGCTTCCAACAATCTGCAAAAATCCATAACAACCTCAGAGCGGGCTGTCCTCCAGCTGAGAGCATCCCCAACAAGGAGACCTTGCAAAGAGACCAGGAAGGAGTCTGCGTGTGGGTCAAAGCCGAAAGGGTGGCCTCGCTATGTCCTCCTAGGAAGCCCAGATCCCTGCCCACCCCAAAGACAGAGACAACCTCCTACGGGAATGGCTCTGCCACTTAATGTTAACTCCCAGAGGGTTGAACAGTTTTAACCAAAGTTCATTGACTATCAGATGTCAACTGGGGAGGAATCTCGAGTGCTTCTGCCACGTGACTCTGGCTCAGCCAAGTTCAATCACATAAGTGACATTTAAGTGGCATGCTTACTAACCTGCTGATGACTAAAGTGGGAGGGAGGGCCCCCTAACGAGGTGGGGGATGGAATAAGGATTCAACAAGATTTTGACAGGCTGCTGAATATGTCAGATGAAATTTAATAGGGTTAAATTCAAAGTCCTCCACTTAGAGCTGGAAATTCTATATAAGTGATAAAATGGGGAGACCTGGTTTATGCCCGGTTCATACAAAAAAGATGTAAGGGCTCTCAGCCAACTGCAAACCGAGTCTGAGCAAACGGTCCGCAGCAGCTGCCTGAAGGAGCTAATGCAGTTTTGGGCGGCTGCCCTAACAGACTGACTGGCACCACTAGGAGTTCTCTGTCTGTCCAGCCAACCCGTCCTAAGCACCTACAGTGTACTGAGTGCTGTGCTTAGTACAGGGGCGCAGTGCTGGGCTCCTGGTGACCTACAGTGACCCACGTGTGTTCACTGGAGCGGGTCGTACCGGAGGCAGGGAATCCGACTGGGGAAGAGCTGGAATGGGCCAGACAGTAAAGAGGGAGGGATTCGCTGGGGCAGGGGCAGAGGGAGACACCCCGCTGGGAAGAGAGAGGCCTTTGCAAAAGCCTAGAAGGGCAGGTCACAGATGTCCGAGGAGAGCCAGAAGGAAGGGAGTCCAGATGCTGAGGAGGGAGAAGTGACAATACACCATCTTCCTACAGGATTCTGGCTTATGCAACTGGGTGGATGAAGTGCCACCTATGAAGGCAGGAAGTTCAGGGAGAGGTCCTGGTTGGAAGAACCACTGGCAATTTCAGTTAGTAACGCTTGTGACGTTGAGATGGACATGTCCAGCGGCAGAGGGAAGGCTCCGAGCACTCAAGAGGACTTACACACGATAATTAAGGCCATGAATGAAAAGAGGGCCAGGAGTAGGATCCCTGACTTGGAAGGGTGACGGCATAAGGGGAGCTTGTGAAGGAAGCCAAGAAGGATGCACTTGGGGGTAGGAGGAGGACCAAGAGGGGCAATGGTCTGACAGCCACACTGTGGAGTTTCACGAAACGTGGTAGTGATCCACAGGACCCAATGCCATTGGGCAGTTAACAATAGAGGCAGGAAAGGGACTATCAGATTGGGATTTTAGGAATGGACTCCAGTCACCCCCATCTACACTACTGGATTTATTTGGCAGCTTGTTCTAGGAGGGATGTGAAAGTCAAATCATCTGAAGAATGGTCAAGGAAACCAGGATGCTTAACCTGGAAAAGATCAGTGTCTTCAGATGCCACGAGCACCGGAAAGTGGGAGATTTGATGCATTCTGTAGGCCTTGAATAGACTGAGCCAAGGCCTCTGCGTAGGGAGCATGGGATGGGGCAGGCAGTCTGTGCCTGGTGCAAGGAGATAGCTTTCTATCAGTCAGGATGGAACAGGATGGAACAGGATGAGCTGCCCTGGGAGGTGAGATCTGCATCTTTTCATTGGCTGGGAAAAGACTCCCAGTCTATTAGCTGTTACAGCGCCCATCCTAATCAAATGGAGAAAAGTATAATGGGCAATGCTGGAATCTCCCCTGGAGGGCATCACGCACAGGCCATAGTGGGGTACCCCACAGGGGACACGGGCACTGGGTGGGGCAGGACCAGACTGTTTCTGTGGTACTGGGTAACTCCAAGCTGCTGCAAATCCCCAGTTCCTCAGAGGTATGCTCTAGTGTTCCTGCTGTCAGAAATCATGTATTTTGTTGTTAGTTCAGATTCTTCCTTCAGCAATTAAATCTGTTTTCTTCAGTCTTGAGGATGAATGCTAATGAACCTGAAGTGTACAGAAGAGGAGGTGGCAGTCTTAGATCATCTTGGTTTTTGTCGGGGCCCCTGGGTGGCTCAGTCATTAAGTTCCTGCCTTCGGCTCAGGTCATGATCCCAGGGTCCTGGGATCGAGCCCTGCATTGGGCTCCCTGCTCGGCAGGGAGCCTGCTTCTCCCTCTCCCACTCCCCCTGCTTGTGTTCCCTCTCGCGCTGTGTCTCTCTCTCTCTGTCAAATAAATAAATAAAATCTTTAAAAAAAAAAAAAGATCATCTTGGTTTTTGTCTTAGGAGACATGAACGACTAGGCTTCCTCTCCAGGTGAAGAAACATACATCCTAACTGTTTCATTACTGTGGCAGGCGCCGTTTGCTGGCTAATCCCACAGATACCCTGCTATCCCCCTTCTCTCCTGCTGACTCTACTAGAGAAGCTGGAACCACTTTTCCAACCAGGGTGGGATGTGACACAATCCTGAGCAAACAGAAATAAGCAGTAGCTTCTCTTGATAAAAGGGACAGATCTAGCTGCTGGTAACCTGTCTTAATGAGGGATGTGATACTTGGAGCTGCAGCAGCCTCGTGAGACCATGAGGGAGAGATCAAGAGAAAGACAGAGGGCTTGACCCTGATATCTTTAAGCCACTGAACTGGCTGTGGCCATCTGCAGTCTTTCCTGTTCCGTGAGATAAACAAGACCAGCTTCTCCCGATCAGGTATTCTGTAAAACGCAGCAGGAAACGTGACTGGCATGCATGCATCACTTCTGTTAGGCTTCATCAGGAGTCTGTGATACAGATGAGACACTGTCAAGGTTAAGCAGCTTTCCTGGGCCACGTACATAGAAGGAGGCAAGCAGAGGATTTGAACTCATGACTGCTTGCATTGAAAAATCCAGCACTTTCCACAAAGTGACACTGGCCCTCACTCGGTTCCTGTCAGTACTCGTTTGCCCCTTTGACTTCTCACAGTGGGGAAAGCATTTTAAGAGAAAAGTGATATGTGTGTCTCTCTGGGAGGTTGTGGGACGTGTGTGCAGCCTCAAACCATCTCTCTTCATTTCAGAGAACACAGGCTACCTCTTTCTGGTTTAATCTGAGATGGACATTAGTGAGAATGGTGGGCACGAAGGTAATCGGCAGAGGTGTCTCTGACAGTCTGGAGACAAGGCAGGACTGCGGGAGATGCTCAGAAATGCCACTCTCCAAAACAATGGAAAATTTCAAATGAAAACTCAAGCAAGTCAAAGACAGCTGGGGGGCGGGGAGACAAGGAGGAAGCTTGGGACAACCACAGCTACATTTACTCAGAGAGGCCAAAACCAAATGAAAAACCATGAGGAAGACATCGAGGAAGTGACTGCAGTCATCTGAAATGTGAAATGTGCTTTTGAGGATTTAACTCTAACAATCCATCTGCTTGTGTGGGCTCAGCTTTGGGGGGATGCCAAGCCCCTGCTTGCGAGCCACGGGGGCCGCGGCAGGGCTGAGAGCGGGAGGGCTGCAGCGAGGCTCAGCAAGCCCCCGTCCTGAGCACGACAGACCTCCCCGCTCCGGGGGACGGGCCCCGGAGGTCTCCATTCGGTCCAGGAAAGACCTGCCAGGATTCCGGATTTGGCTGCTTCTCTTACTGGGAACAGAAGCAGGAGCAAGCCTTCAGGGCCTGGGAGACAACGGGGTGAGATTCCCTGGTGATGTGCTGCAGCTTCTCCCGCCCCATCTGTGAAATGGGCTCATAACGCTTATCTTGCCTCCTTCCCAGGCTGAGAGGAGATGAAGTGAGGTAATAGTGAGAAGAATCGGAAGCCAACTTCTGTTTTCAGATTGTGTATGAAACACGTATAAAACCCGCTGTGATCCTTGCTCGACTTCTACCAGGTGGAGCTACACGGAATTGCCAACACTCAACTCTTTTGATATAAAAAATGGTAATTTCACACGTAGAAACTAGTACTATTTCAACTGAAAAGCACTGGAAGGCATCACTGGGGTTCAGTAAATTTTTTATCAAGTCTACTCAGGGGAGAGGCACATTCTGTTTCCACGGCTGTAAACCTTGGAAAGATCTACGTGCAAAAGTGTTCCAGATGCGTTTATTTACTTCTACTCTACCTTGCTCCAGAAAGGCTTGAAGAACATGCCAACTCAGAGAGTGTCACCTCGAACAGGAATGGAAGAAGAAAAGTGTGGGCAGAAAGAGGGCAGAGCCGGACGGAGGCTAAAGGGGCAGGAGCGAATGACCTAGTTCAGAGCTGGATTCCCAGTCTGGGTTTGAAGGGCTGCCATTTACACCACCTGTAGTATCCGTGAAAGGGAAACCGGTCAGAGAAGTGAAAGTGCCTGGGGTACTAAGTTCAGGCAGGAGCTCGTCCCGGAGGTCCTCCCGAGGGAGTGTGCTCCTTCCTTTCTGGTTTGACCCTTAATGGAGTCTGACGGCCCCTCTCCTGCTGGAGGTGTGGGAAGGGGACAGGCAAGTGTTACCCTGGCAGGTGACAGTCTGAGAAGCCCCAGGGAAGCTCCCGCCAGCAGAGTCCTACCGGGTCCCGTCAAGGTGGCTGATGATCAGGCCCCGTCCGTGGCCCGCCTGGGCGAGCTGCAGCAGCAGGGCCAGGCTCTGCTGGCGGACGATCAGAGCCCTGGCGGCCAGCAAGGACGGCAGCAGCCGGCCCACGTAGGGGTGCTGGAGTAGCAGGCGCTGGTTTTCCTCTGCAAGACAGGGGACGAGCACCTCGTGCACATGACAGCGGTTACACCACTTGTCTCTCCCACCATGCCACTGGGAAATCCAGGTCTCCCGCTCGTTTGAGAGGCAGGGTAATAAAGTGTCAGAGCACGAGCTCTAGAACCAGGCTGCTGGGTCCCGGTGACCAGGGGCACGATCGTGGCTGAGTCGTGAACTCCCGTGCCCCTCAGCTTCCTCGTGGGTGAAACGAGGAAGGCGGCTGACGTGCCGGAGGTGTTAGCAGGGCTCAGGGAGTGAATACGAGCCGGTGCTTAGAACAGGGCTGGCTCACATGTGGGCGCCACGTAGCGTTATTCTTATGCTGCAAAAGGAGCTCACTGGAAACAATCCAAATAGCACAGGAGTACAAAGCTGACCATGAAGGGCCCCTCCTCTCGTGGCCCCTCCAGGTAAGTTCATTCCTTAAAGCAGCCCCCCCACCCCCACCTCTCCTGTGAACACTGTTAAAAATATGGTCCACCCTACCCTGTCTCGGCTTCCCTCTCCCACTCAACAGTGTATCAGGGACAGAGTTCCATGTCTGTAACTTTATAAGCATCCCCGTGTCCTTTTGAAAATCTTCTCTGTATTCACTGAGTTGGACATACCCAGATTTCATGGATCTGACAGAGCATGTGCATCAGAGGCTGTGTGTGACCATGTTTGTTCTGATGTTAACGAAAAACGTGACCCCAAGGTTCACTGAAACCGAAGTCGGCGCAGGCTGAGGAAATCAGGGCTGCAGGGAGAGCGCTATGTCTGGTTCACCGGAGTAAAAGCTCGGTCACCAAGCCCTGCCTCCCTCCCCCTCATGTGTGTGGGGGGTACGAGATCACCACCCCGGGCCAGTGCAGAATCCCACAGGGCAGTGGGGCGCCCTGATAACCGCACTCGTCTGAGCCTGATTCCCTTCAGGAAAGGGTCCCCCTCATTCTCCAGTCCTCTGCAACTTAAGATGATTCCCTCACTCTACTAAATCAAGGGGAAAAGTCGTATCATCGCATATTCAGCCTGTTATAGTTTACGAATTGCCTCCACGAGCTCTGTGGCTGGCTTCCCACAAGAGCCCTGTGACAAGGAGACCCAGATGCCACTCTCCCCATTTTCAGTGTTTTCCGTCCATGGTTGGGTCTTTCCCTATGAAAACACGACTTTTTTAAAATGAGGGAAATACTTACCATTTTTATTTACATTTACTACTTTACAAAAGGGGTAAGAGAGATTGTGCAGAAACTTAGTGAACCCCAGAAAATGCTAATATGCAGACAGGTAAATAAGTGTGAACAAGGCCGGTAAGCGTCGTGTAGCATCTACTGTCCCAGTATTACACTGATCGGTGTCATAAAAGAGATGTCAGCAGGGACCATCATAAGTCTCCCGACACTGAAACGGGTACTGCGGTCAGCAAAAAGGAAGGACACGTTTAGGTGGACAGGACAGGAACAGCTCTGTCCACTGCGCTGCCATCGCCCAGGGGATGAGATGGCTCGTTCTGCTGACAGTGACTTTGCCCACCGTCAGGGCAGCTGTGAGGGAGGTACAGATGTGGCCGCAGCGCAGGCCTCGCTTCTGACCCCGATGCTCTCTGGGGGAAGGTCCGGACGTCACCTCCCTCGGGCCTGGCCCGCGGGGTAGACAGTCCTGCCCACGCATACGTACCCACAGACTATGGACGAGGGTTAACGGCGACGACCCGCACTTACCGTTCCCCGTGCACACTGCTTGCCAAAGCCTGAGGACAGACACGCACACCATCTCTTCCACTGCATCTTTTCCTGCCGTGGAAAAGCACCTAGAATGGATGAAGGACGGCAACATTAAAACTGGAAAGTAGTCCTGACCTTCTTTTTGGCTGGCTTTAGCCCACCTCCAGACTCCTCCAGTGCGGGCGGGTTGAAGCAAGCAATGTTTTAACGCAGAGCCGCAGGTCACCAGGACCCGTGCGCTGGTCAGCACTGAACCAAGAGCTCCGGGACAGGGGTGCAGGCCGAGGAGGCGGGGCTGCATGGAGGGAGGCTGCTGAGCCAGGGCCACGGGCGACGGCCACATGGTGACCGATGATGTGGTGGGCCAGCAGCCTACGGAGGGCTCATGGGCCCCCATACACACCCAAACATGTGCTGGTGACCCCCACCCATGTCAGTGTCCTCCTAAGCCTGAGGATCCAGCGGATCTCGTTTCTTGATGTGATCAGCAAATTCCAAGAGAGGAAAAGAACAAATGGCAATCTTGCCCAAACTGATGGGAAACCAGAAAAAAGGGTCACTTCTCGGACTCTGCAGTGTCTGGAGGGACCCTGGGAAGCGTGGCTGACCTCTTCTCTCTCTGTGGTCAACTGTGGCCAAACTCAAACTAGCGGAGGCGCAAAGCCCCGCCCCTTGCCAGGGCCACCACCGCGGACTGAGGGACAGGACCAGCCAGGGAAGCCACTGCCTGTGTGACCAGGGATCTTTCATGGGGGATTGGTTGTCCTTCCTTGCTCTACTGCTGACTGTCTTTACAAACACCCCTACCTTCTTAGGACCTTATTCTCGCTGATGAGACTGAATCCATTGTGTGTTCTGAATAAAGTTCGTTCTGTGCCTGGAATGAATTCATAAAAAAACCACGTCAGACTCCTGAACGGTCTGGCTGACGTCTAGCCATAACAGAGCCAGCTGTTGATGAGAAACCCACTATGGAATGTCAAGCTCACCAAATTAACAGATTAAGCAGAAACAAATACCTTTACGTTCTGAAACCTACAGCTGTCATCGGCCACTTGTAGCCCCAGGGAGAGGGACATCCTGTTCTGAGAAGGGGAGCTGGGCCCGGGGGCCCTGTCGGTTATCTGACAACGCATCACTCTGTCATCTTTAGAGAGTCTCCAGGAGCTGTTCAACCTCCGGGAAGAACTAGCATATCCATCTGTTCTTAAATATGATTTTGAAGCTGTTTCTAGGCTCTAGAGAGGAACCTATACTCTTCAGGAAACTAGTGAAGGGGATATCTGAGCGTCCTCCATCCTACACTACAGGGAGGTCAGAGATCCCATCTCTGCACACACAGCATCCTGTCACTGAGTACAGAGTGCTTGAATCCCTGATATCAATGTTTGTAAGAACCGGTAAAAAGAGAACGGTCTCACCAGCAGGAGAGCTGATATTTGCTCTGGAACGACTTACATGTCCTAAGAAGCCGTTACATGTAACTGGGGTGAACCTTGCAGTTTATCTTACAAAATTCTGTCTTCCGTTCCTCCGTGGTTGGGGGGAGCTGTGTCAGGGTGGGATACGGTGTTGGGGCATCCAGGGGGTATGCAGGGAAACCCAGAAGGTGTGCAGGCATGTGGACGATGTGTGGAGCACGCGTGAGGGGTGATTATGTGTGGTGTGTGCATATGTGAGTTATATACATGTGGTGTGAGTATGTGCCATGGGTGTACGGCCTGTGTATGTGTGTTCTGTGTTGCATTGTGTTTGGGGCGTCTACTGCGCATGTGCTGAGTGCACGCGTGCTCTGAGGGGAGGGTGGAGCCGGGGCGGGGGTATATCTCTTACGTGGCCTCTTCAGTCCTGACATTATAGCAGATCTTCAGTATGTGTGGAAGGAAGGGACATAGGGATTCTCTGCCTCCTCAGGACTGACTTCTACACTGTCCCTTTACACTATATATTCACGAGGTCATATGCATCTCGGGCTTACAATCCTGCATCATTTCAGTCAGGATTTCAATCCCCCCTGCATAGAACAAGGGGGTCTGATCGGGCTTGCAAAGCGTCTCCAGGAGATTCTTGACTGTCACAGCTGTGTTCTTCCCCGAATCCAGCGATCTGTGGGCTTCCTTCTCTTGAAGGTCTGCTTTCTCCCGGAGGTTTACTTGATTCAGGTAATCTACAAAACAAGAAGGAAAAGAAAAGAGAAACAAACAAAACCCTAACGGTCAACATCATGACACAAAGAGTCACCTTTGTTGAGGATGCGAGGTTGAGAGGCGTGAAGCATTACTATCATTCAAACTTGGCTTCAGCAGGGAAAATTTTAGGAAGGGTGTACAGTCTATGCCCAGGATTTTAAACCATCTTCGGGATTCAAGGACAACATTATGCCCTGCCTAGAAGGCTCTAAGGGACGATGGTGTAGAAAGGAGGAAGGCAGAGGTCTGAGTGGGAGAACAGAGAGGAAAGAGGAGCGGGCAGCCTGCTAACAGAGAGGGTTTGATGTGGCTTTGAGGCCAAGTGCGGAGAAGGTATGGGAGGCCAAGTGCAGAGAAGGTATGTGCCGGAGCACAAAGCGAAAGTGGAATTCAAACGAAGGACACCAGCAGGAACATCCTCACCTTTCACCTGGGTCTGAAGCTGGGGGTTTATTTCTAAGATCTTCTGATAACACTCTCTAGCCTGGAAAAAAGAAACAAGACCTTGAAGGGTGGTCAGGGGGTGAAGGTGATTATAGGAAAGACACCAGGCACCACGGGGCTGGGCTTCATTATTTCCTCCCAGCCTCCTCCCGATCCCAGCGTAGGAGGCAGGCAGGGGGAATGCAGCATGCATTTGACATTTTGTTTAGGCTTCTCTGGTTCTGTGGGGCAAGAGGCATTATTTCAGAACTTATTTTTAAAAAATAGTGTTATCAGATCCAGCCTGTGATGGAAAAATATCCAGTCCTAAATTCTCGTGGATCATGCCTGGCTGGTATAGGAATAATCATAAGGTGATTGCAAAATTTAGATATGATATTTGCACTGAGAGAGAACAGGAGGCTACTTGTCAGATATGCCCACAAGCAGTCGGGAAATAAATGAAGCTGGAGACACTGTTGACAGAGACTTTTGGGAACAGGAAAAGCGAAGTGCCTATGTAAATACACAGGGCTGCAAAGAGAGCCTATAAGGGGTCCATTCACTGGCCATATATGACTTGCAAGAAAACTTGAGAGTGAGGGCCTCTCCATGAGGAAAGTGCTGGAAAGTTTCTGAAAAAAAGAAAGATTCTAGCTTGTGAGGCATGTTACTGGGTTTTGAGCAGTACTGTCCTCAGGGGTATTAAGAACTCTGCCCAGTCACTGAGAAAAAAAAGCACAGAAAAAAATGGCTCTCAGCTGTACTGAAAGCTCAAGGCTCATCCAAAAGATTAGGATTAAAAAATGAATGGAAGAAAAAAACATCACATAAAAGAGACTAGTGTTGCGGGACAGAGGTATACACATCAAACATGGTAACTGCTATAGACTGTTTGTGTCCCCCCCTCCCCCAAATTCCTATGGTGGAACCTAACCCCCAATGTGATGTACTTGGAGGTGGGGCTTTTGGGAGGTAATTAGATCATCAGGGTGGAGCGTTCATGAGATTTGTGTCCTTATCAAAGAGACCCCAGGGACCTCTCTTAACCCTTCTGGCTATCTATGAACCAGGAGGCAGTTCTCACCACACACCAATCTGCTGGTGTCTTGATCTTGGACTTTTCAGCCACCAGAGCTGTGAGAACTAAATGTTTGCTGTTTAAGCCACCTGGTCTCTGGTAGTTCTTAGAACAGCTCAAAAGGATGAGGGCAGTGAACCTGTATCCAACTCCTTTTGAACCCTAGATCTAGTCTATTGGCAATTCCTGTTGGCTTCACTGTCAGTATATATCCAGAATCCCATCATTTCTCACCACCTCCCTCAACACCAACTTGGTTCAAGTCATCATTACACCTCACTTGGAAAGTCTGTTGCAATAGCCTTCTAACTAGTTCTCTGTTCTTTGTCTACTATGTCAAGATATATTCTCAATGCAGCAGTGATCCTTTAAAACATGAGTCACATCATTTCACTCCTTCACTCAAAACCCTCCAATGGCTCCCAGTTCACTCAGAGTAAAAGCCAAAGTACTTCCAAAAGCCTGTAAGGCTATAGGGAATCAGTCCCTTACCATACCGCCATCGTCTCCCTGACCTCATCACCTATCATTCTTCTCTAGCTGACCCTCTGACTGGACGGCTCCTTCATTATACAGCCACATGGCTTGCTCACTTCACTCCCTCCCTTCCTGCAGAGAAGCCTTCCCTGACCACTCCTTATAAAACTAATCTCACCTTCGCTGCTTCCTGATTTCGTTTTCTCAATAACACTTATCACTAACCAACATACTACACATCTACTTATGTGGTTCCTGTCTCCCGGCCACTTCTATTCCAAGAATGTAACTACCATTAAGTCAAGGATTTTGTCTTGTTTGCTACTGTATTCTTATTGTCTAGGGTAGTGCCAGAAACATAGAAAGTATGCATACATATTCACTGAGTGAATTAATTACCTGAATGAATGAGTGAATGAATAGAATTTGGTGGCGAGGGGAGGGTTAACATTTTCTTTTTTCTTTCTTTTTTTTTTTTTTTAGATTTTTATTTATTTATTTGACAGAGAGAGACACAGCGAGAGAGGGAACACAAGCCGGGGGAGTGGGAGAGGGAGAAGCAGGCTCCCCGCAGAGCAGGGAGCCCGATGCGGGACTCGATCCCGGGACTCCAGGATCATGACCTGAGCCGAAGGCAGTCGCTTAACCAACTGAGCCACCCAGGCGCCCACATTTTCTTTTTTCACTTTTCTATTATTTGACCTTAGTACAATAGGCCTGTATTACTTTTAGAATTAAAATCCAATGGTGAAAATAATTTTTTAATGTATAATAAGAGGCAATTTCTTTTTAAAAATACGGTATCTTATAAGTGGAAAGACATCCCATGTTCATGGATTTGAAAGCTTAATATTATTAAGATGGCAATACTCCCCAAACTGACCTACAGATTTAATGTAATCCCCATCAAAATTCCATCTGGCTTCTTTGCAGAAATTGACAAGCTGATCCTAAAATTTGTATGGTAATTCAAGGGACCTAGAATTAGTAAAACCATCTTGAAAAGGTAGAGCAAAGCTAGAAGACTCACACTTCCCAATTTCAAAATTTACTACAAAGCTATAGGAATCAGGACAATGTGGTACAGACATAAGAATAGACATATAGATCAATGGAATAAAACTGAGAGTCCAGGAATAAACCCATGCATTTATGATCAATTGATTTTTGACAAAGGTGCCAAAATTTTCAATGGGAGACAGAATAGTCATTTTAACAAACGGTGCTGGGAACACTGGATATCCACATACAAAAGAATGAAATTACATCCCTTCCTCACACCATATGCAAAAACTAACTCAAAGTGGTTCAGAGATCTAAATATAAGAGCTAAAGCCATAAAACAGAACAAAACACAGAAGTAAATCTTGGATTAGGCAATGGTTTCTTGATATGACACCAAAAGTATAAGCAATCAAAGAAAAAATAAATAATTTAGGATTCATCAAAATTAAAAATTTTTTGTGCTACAAAGAACACAGTCAAGGAAGTGAAAGGGCAACACAGACAGTGAAAAAAAATATTTGAAAATCACTTGTCTGATAAGGGACTTGTATCCAGAACATATAAAGTACTGTTTACTTAATATAAAAATGCAAATAACCTAATAAAAAAATAGGCAAAGGATCTGAGGAGACATTTCTCCAAAGAAGATATACAAACAGCCAACAAGCCACAAGAAAACAGACTCAACATCACTAGCCATCAAGGAAACGCAAATCAAAACAACGAGTTATGCTTCACACGCACTAGGATGGCTGTAATCAAGAAGAGGTAAGTATTGCCCAGGATGTGGAGAAACTGAAACCATATACGGTGGGTGGGCATGTAAAATGGTTCAGCCACTTGGGAAAACACCTTGGCAGTTCCTCCAAAGTTAAACATACAGTTACCATAGGACTCAGCAGTTCCACTCCTGGGTATATACTCAAGAGAACTGTATACACGTCCACACAAGAACTTGTACGTGGATGTTTGTAATAGCCCTAATGTTCGTCAACTGAGGAAAGGATAAATAAAATGCAGAATATCGATACAACGGAATATTATTCAGCAATAAAAGGAATGAAGTACCAATAGATGCTACAACATGGATGAGCCCTAAAAACATTATGCTAAGTGAAAGAGACCAACCACAAAAGACTATATCTTGTATAATACTATTTATAGGAAAAGTCTAGAATACACAAATGCATAGAGACAGAAGTAGATTAGCGGGTGCCTCGGGTTGAGGTGGGGGTGGAGGGAAGCAGAGTACTACCAATGGGTATAGGGCTTTTGGGGAGGTGACAAAAATGTTCTAAAGCTGTGTATGATGATGGTTGCACGTCTCTGTGAATATAGGAAAACCCACTGAACTGTACACTTTCCACAGATGAACTGTTTGGTATGCGAATGATATCTCTCAACAAAGCTGCTGTTAACAATATATAATATCTCAGCGTGTAAATGTATCTGCATGGTTACTTTTGGGTGGTGGGATTATAAGTGAATTTTGTGTTCGTCTCTCCGGAGATGCTCCTCCTGGGGCCGACAGAACACTGGTAGAAGATACTGCAGAAGGGATTCCCAGAGCAGGTGGGGCTGTCCTGGACGACACTCAACATCCTTCCCAACTCAAAGATTTGAAGAGTTACCTTGGAAAATTCTAAAAGGTGGATTAGTTCCTAATCAACTTTGGAGGAACATGGTCCTTCTCTGAGGCGATCTGAAGCATCGTTCTGTGATCACACATTCCCTTCCATTCCTCTCAGAACTTACCACACTGTAGTTCTTCAGGGCCAGGTGGGCTTTTCCCATGTGGAAATACGCTTTTGTGCATTTTTCATCACACTGCGTAAAAGAGAATGACTGATCAGATGTTTCAGAAGGTTTGAAGTCATGAGCCACTCCCCTAACTGCCTAGCTAACAGAGGGAAGGCAGAACTCGTGTTCTCAGGACAGCTACCAGGGTTGACAATTAAAACTTTTCTGTGCATATGTAGCCAAACTAATTGAAGCCTGCAAGGAGCTCTCTATCAAATTAATTAATGATACTTGCCAGTTTTCATTTCCATTTAATGAGACTCAATCAGGAGACAAACCAGAAACCCTTAGTTGAGAAGAGCTCTTGACCTCACCCAAATATCAGAATCACCGGGGATGCTTACCAAAACCTGGAAGGCCACGCTGAACCCCATACCAATTAAAACTTATACTCTGGGGTAGGGCCCAGGCATCAATAATTTTGTAAGATCCCCAGGAGACATAAGCACGCAGCCAAGCTTAAGGACCATTGGTTTATCAGAAGAGAGGAACATTTACTCTGGGTAAAGAGCTGAGGTCACTGTGACATCTTAGTGGGCCTCGCAAGCTCCTTCCCTGAAATAAACCACACCATATACCCCGGGAACTTACGTTCTTGTCACTGAAGATCAGGAGGGATGCCCCCATCAGAAGGCAGGATCAAAACTTAGGTGAGGCCACAGCCTTTGCACGGGGGGCCCTGCACCTGCCTGCCCCTAATTATTACCACTCCAGAGAGACTGACTGACTTCGCACAATGATGCCGACTACAACTTCTAACATCCAGTTAAGTAAGTGAACCCTTTTATGTGAGAGGCATTGTGCGGGGATGCCCTCCGAGGGTCTAGAGTGCAAGCTAGTCTAAAAAGTCCTGGGTGAATTCCTGGCTTGCTTCTCCCCAGAAGTGGGACGCTGGCCAGAACGGCAGCAATCCAGAGTAAAGGGGGCGACGGAAAGAAAAGACAGACGGTGGTAGAAGAGGCAGCGATGACTGTCCTACGTGGAGAGGCCTTTACAGGTGCGTCTTCGTGAGCGTCATTTCCTGACGCGCTGCTAAGTGAACGACAGTAATGACAACAGGACCTTACCCTTGCCATGCGGGTCGTACGAATTATCTCATATAAGCCTTAGAACAACTCCATGAAATCAATGCCATTATTATCCCCACTGCACAGATGAGGAAACTAGGGGCTGGAGGGGGCAGAGCTGGGATCTAAAATCTGGCCATCTGACTCCAGGCCCCAAAGGCTACAGACTATACCAATTCTCCTTCAGAAAAGTGCGATAGCAGTCGAGGAGGGGGAAATCCACTGTGAAGAGGCATGGTTTAGCAAAGGGCGTGCAGACTACGGGTTTGAGCTGGGTCTCCAAGGATATGGAGAGGTGAAGAGAGAAGGAAGGAGGGAGAATGGGCTGAGCAAGGTCCGGGGATGGGCGGGGACAGGGGGCTTCTGGCCAGGCCAAGGGGCAAGAGCGGGGCAGAGGAGGGTCAGCCTGGATGGGGCAAGCAAGACAGTGGTTCCATGAGGAGGTCTCGGACGCCAGGCTGCGGGAGATGAATGAACAGCATGGGTGCAAGGAAGTTGCTCCGGAGGCAGTACGCAGAACTGGCTAGAGGCGGGAAAGGCAGGGGGACAAGTGAGGGAAGTGAAGCAGTCCTGCAGAATGAGGGGCTAGCCTCTGTCCAGTGGTGGACCCAGGAGAGGAGGCAGGAGCTCCGAGGGAGAAGCGGCAGAGAGAAGAAAGGCAGGGAGCCGGGGAGTGAGCTCTGGAGAATCCACAAACAATGAGGTCAAGGGGGCAGGAAAGGAATGGTCCAAAGGAAAGGAAATGCCAGTGCAGTGGCCCATGAAAGCCAAATGTCCCCTGGCCCTTTGCTGGCAGAGCATCAGGGTTACACCAGGGGGCAGAACAAGCGGGGGGCCTCAGAGTCCCCTGTGCGCTGGGACTCCGCCCGCCTTGGATGCTGACACAGAGGGCCAGATGGATGTCTCACTGCCCAGCCCGTCTCCTTTGATCATGTGTCAGTGCTCACCAGGATTTTCTCAGGTGAGCCCCAGATCCCCCTAAAAGGAGTCCTGTTTTCAGAGAAAGGTGGATTTTGTCGTGCAGAAAGAGTTCTGCCAGGAAAGAAAGACTCTGATCCTAATTGAAAGCAGCTTCGCTGCCTTATCTTCCCTGACAAGGAACATCAGTCTTGAACTATCATTATATGAGCTTGTCTCTACCCATTCAAAAGTGTCAAAAATATTAAATTGGCATCAAAGTACTCAGACTATTAATAACGGAATACCACTGACATGCATTATTGATGTTACGTTTAAAGAGAGTGAAACTTTTACATTCGTGGTTCTGACACAGAGCCAACCACTGTTAGTTTTGAGAGCTCCGTATACATTTTCCCCTATCCCTCCAAGTGGTTACCCAAGCTTCTTCAATGGGGAGCCTCGCGGGGCATTCCTCAAGACTGGCTGCTGAGGGTCAGAGTTTTTTAATGTCAGCTTTGTTGGGCCTGCTCTGCTTTGGTCTCACTGCTAATTATTACACTGTGCTTCGTTTAACATCTGGGAAGAGGCCAGCATGTCATCCTGAGTCAGCATGAAGACGGTGGGACTACTTCTTGGGCCCTTTTCAGATCAGAACAGATACTCCTGGAAGCCCCACGGAAGGGAACCAGATCCACACCCAGGGATTGTGGGGTTTCAGGTTCCGGTGGAGAAGCTGTACAGAGGAGAGGATTCAGAGTACTGGCTTAGCTTGGACCAACGTTAGCTATGTGATCCTGCACGGTTACTTAATTAATCTCCGAGGCTTGGTTTCCTTGCCAGAAAAATAAGGATAACGGTGGTATCGAAGAGAACAGAACAGAAAGTTGTAAGGCTCACGGCCAGCACGCAGCAAACCGTGGCTTGTGCTGTTATTGTTGGAAAACGTCCTGGCCTCTCGCTTCTCTTACGGAATGGTAGAGAAAATAGCATGATCACATAAAGCGACAAAGCAGGTTGGGGGACCTATGCTGGGGCTGTGAAGAACCTGATGTCACCAGCTCTGGGCAGTTCTTGTAACTTTAAGACTGTAACGATGTGATGGGACAGGTTTTGTGGACATTCTGTTATCTTCTAAGGGATAAGGAAATCATGCACCCCCACACGTCCGTTTTGGAGGATTCCTAGTGTTTTATAAACCATTATTAGCAAGGTGAGGTCCTAATTCACCCCAGTTTCCCTTGCTTACCCTCTCAGTAAGAAATAAGGGAGCTGTAGCCAATATGCTGCTGTCGAAGTGTGCTCTTACTCTGGGCCACGTTTGTTATGCTGGGGTGGGGGTGCTGTGCTGGAGGGATCCGGGCCATAAGATAAACCTGGCATGTTCTCCTGGCACTTCAGTTTTACTTGATCATAAGTGATTGAAAATAACATGGTGATATTAAGAGATAAACTCCATGGAGTGCAATACAAAACTTGCAAGGATTTTTCAGATAAAACACATCTCTAACAAGAAATGTCATGCTCTCCGCTTCTAGACCCTGCAGGGGCTCACGTTCGCTCCATCAGCAGCCCTTCGGTGAGGAAGTCTGAGAAACCCTGCCTTGGTTCTCTTCAGTGAGAGCCCCTGTGACAGAGGGCCTTCGCAGAAAGGGAGAGGAAGACTTATTTAAATATTTAATTATCCGAAATAATGTCTCTAAGAAGCGATCATGACAGTTCTCTTTTAACGGCCCTTACTTCTCCTCACTTTAAATGATCTCCCTGGGCAGATTTCAGAGGAAACGCCGTGCACAGCGTTAGGAGATCTGCCTGAGCCCTGACTGGTAGTCCCCGGGCTGAACGACAGGAATTCTGATTACTCCTCCACGAATATGCCAAATTACTAGGGCTGGAGGAAAAGCACAAACTGATGGGGAAGGACAGCACCACTGCAGAAACCCGTTCCCATGGCTGGTTCTAGAAACAGAAGGAGGCGTTGCCACTGCCACAGGAAGCAGAGCGGCTGGTGACACAGCAGTAGAAGATGAGCCCTTGCGATATAAACCTTGAACACGCAGCACGGAAGGCCACTCTCTGGAGCACTGACTACGAGCTTGGTGCTTCGCACGCATCACCGTGACCCCTAAAACAATCTATGGATCCCACGTTATAGATAAGGAAGGTCAGGGCCTGACTGCGGAGCTCAGAGCCTGGCCCACCACGCAACACTGTCCACTCTCCTGCGTTCACTTCAGGACCCAGATGCCCGGCCTGGCGAGCCCAACTCCATCACGTGGAAAAGGCTCTCTCTTCTTACCTTCAGAGCCCACTCACAATCCACGATTGCCTTCTGGTAGTCCCCGAGTTTTAGATAAGCCTGCAATGACATAAAGGGCTGTATTCATATGTAATTCTGCGGCACGCGGTCCTCAGTTAACAGTGTAACCAACGGGAATGTTAGAGAACCCCAGGGCTAGCAACCGTGGACAGCCAGTACCACTGCGAGGACCGAAGGGGCAGGACGAGCCACTGACAAACGGGAGAGGACAGCTTTGTGAACGCACTGCCAAGCTGGAGCTGAGGCTTTTAGGAGAGCTGCAGGTGGGAGAATAAAGAGCCCCACTCTCACTTTCTTCCTTCCTTCTGATCTCACTGGCTGAGCCCAAATGCAATCTAGGAAGCCAGGAAGTCAGGGGGTAGGTCCACAGAGGTCAGTCCCCAGAAGACAGGGCAGAGAAGGATCTGGAAAGGCAAAAGAAAATACCTAGCACACTAAACCCATCTACAAAGGAAGAGCCAGCTTCTAGAGTCTACCCCATTGTGGATGTTCCAGAAGGAAATCAAATGATAAAGGAAATAAAAAAAGATAACAGTAAACGTTGGAGAAAGTGTAGAAAAATCAGAACTCACAGACACAGCTGGTGGGAAGGTACAGTGATGCAGCCACTTTGGTAGACAGGCTGGCAGTTCTTCAAAGGGTTAAACAGAGTTGCCATATAATCCAGCCACTCCTCGGTGTATACATATGTGCACATAAAAACTTGTGTACAAATGCTCATAGCAGCATTATTCATAATAGCCAAAAAGCAGAAATAGCTCAAATGTCCAACAACTGATAAATGGATAAATAAAATGTGGTCCATCCGTACAATGGTGTATTATTTGGCCATAAAAAAGAACGAAGCACTGATACATCCTACAACATGGATGAGCCTTGAAAGAATTTACAAGAAAGAAGCCAGACACAAAAGGAAAAATATTGCATGACTTCATTTATATGAAATGTCCAGGATAGGCAAACGTATGGAGACAGAAAGTCGACACGTGGTGGCCTAAGGCTGAGGGTAGGGGTGGACGGGAGGACTGGGGCAGGGGGACCGCTTAAACGGTATGGGGTGTCTTTTTGGGATCATGAAAATGTTCTAGAATTGGTTATGGCGACGGTTGCACAGCTCTGTGAATATACTAAAAACCAATGAATTGTTTACTTTAAATGAGCAAAAAGCATGTCATGTCAATTATATCTCAATAAAGCTTTTACTCAAAAAAGATAAAGTTCTGCTGCTTTCCTCGTAAGCACAGGAAGAAGGAAGCGATGTAGGTGATGGGCTGACATTTAAGAGTCAGACCACCACTATGATCCATCGCTGCCAAAAGACCTGGGGGCCTCTTTTGGGATTCCCCTAGAATGGGGGGAAATCTTGAAAATCAAGAATTGATTCAGAATGCTGGGATCCACTCAATGTACACTGAAGAACTCGTGGCACAGAGAGTAACGGAGGGCTGTCTACCAGCAAGCAGAGTGGCTACTCCACCTCTGAGTGAATTACTGATCACAACAGGCGGTCAATACATCCCTTATCAAGTTGAACTAAATAGACTTTAAGCACCCTTCTTTTGGAAAGGTCCCAGGAAGCAGCAATGATCACTCCAGTGTGAAAAAGGAAAACCAGGCACCTGGAGGATAAGAGGTTTTCCCAGAGTCCCCACAGTCACCCCAACTAGAGCCGATACATGTGTAGGTGTCCCCCTGATCAAAACTGTCCCAGGGCACTGTGACATTCTTAGCCAAAATTCTGCTGAGATATTTACATGGTCAAGCCAATCATGGAGTCAGTGTTGTAACTCACAGGGGATCTAAGCATCCATCCCAAGCGAGCAGGGAGCAGGCACTAGCCGGCTAACCAAGTCCAAGTCCTTCCAAGAAAGGAGGCTGTCCTGTGGTGCTTTCATTAACTCAGGTTTTGTACTAATTAAAGAGGATGGCGCTTTGAACTGTTCCATAAAGCCCCATCCTTTCCCCCCAGGGTTTGGGGTTTCATCTGTAAGTCAGAGGATGTGAGGAGGAGACTAGCATCCTTTCAGACAAACAAACGAAGCCACAATTCCCTCACATTGTTACTCAGGAGACATACAGACTCTGAAAATGCATACGTGGGCTTCAGCAATTTGTCTACACAGCCTTTTACTTTTTCTTTTCTTCCTTTTGTTTTTTTTAAGGCTTGGATTCAACACCCTATAAATTCCCTGTTCTCTTTTGCTTTTCCACATTTTAAGAAGAACTACTTTTCCAAATGGCAATTAAACTCCTGATTTATCTAAATTACACCAGCAATCTATTGATCATAACATTAACTCCAGGAAAAAAACAGAGCGATGAAAGGGTAGGTTTTTTTCTCTAGCAAGCAGCAACACTCAATTCACAGGGTCCTTATTAAGTGTTTTCTAACACTGCATGCAAACAGGGGAAGCATTTTAAAAATAGTCAAGGGTGATTTGGTGGTTCATAACAGCACACTTTGTATTTATTTGTCTCTGAATAAGCTTTCTCTTCGGGAAAGCTGGGAAGAATCACTTCCCCAAAGCTTTTCATTACATTTGCTTATTTTTATCCACACCCATTCTTAATGTGATTCTCCAGAACCTAATCAAACTGCTGCTGAAACTTGCTGCTTACAGTAAGTATGTAACTAATTTAGATGGATCGGGGTACAAACCATCTGAATTAGATGAAACTCTGAATTACATAACATTTTAAAAGCAATTCAATTTTACTACTTTCAAATATCTTCAAAGTAACAAGACTGAAAAAGCATCAGTAGGTAAATGTTTTGGAGACCAAATCTGGTGAAAAGTAAAAAGGAATTATAATTATTATATTAATTGCTTGCATTTGAATGTTCCTTTCAAAGTGTCAACAGAAACTTAATTCACTTAAATGGACTGATTGTTCCTCTAGTGTTATGTAACTTAAGAGGATTTATTAAACATCTATTAAAAATAAAGCGTTGGTCGGGGGGGGGGAGTATATGGAAAAGTTTATAATCTCATTAGGGTGATGAAATGCACACCGCTAGGCCAACCTCTGGCCATTTTATTTATCAAACTCACTCCCCTATATCAATTTTCCTCCAGAAATGGGGCTAAGTGGTGCCTCAACTCTAGTCTGATTTACCCAAACCGCTGAACTATTGAGGTTACACTGTGCTTGGACTTATTTGTCATTAAATCACCATCACTCCCCAGACTTTTTGGCCTCCAAACGTCCTGTTTCTTGCTTTCGACGTTCTTTCAACCTCTCACAGCAGGACATTCTTGATCCTGAGTTACAGAAATTGGAGCTGATGAGAGTTCCTCCTGTCAATGACACAGTGGCAAGTGCAGCTGATGTCTCCTGACCATCGGATAATCATGCCCACGGATCGGCCACTTTGTCAGGTCTAAGCTACAGGGAGCTCTGCCACACACAGGCTCAAGTGCTTTTAAAGATAAGGTCACACGTGATGTTTTTGTTTCAACTGAGAACTACCAACCTTGTCCCTTCATTAAGTAGTAGATGATAAACATCTGCGTGATGGTTTTTACCTGGTGTCCCACGAAACAGAGCTCATCTGTGATATAAAACGGAGGTATAAGGGAGTTCAGAAACTCAACATTTCTGAGAAATCGGGTCTAGGCCCAACAGCTATCCAGCCGACTCAGGTCACAGAATCTTACTCCAACAGGGACCGATCCAATGAGTAAGAAGTAACCCTGAGGAGTTCAGGCTACCAGCCAAAGGGGGCTGGCCAAACCCAGCGATGGCAGAATCGGTTCTCCTAGGTTGTTTCACTCAGTCGCTTTACCCTCAGTGATATGCGGGAGCTGACTTACACTGCACAGGAACTGGTTATGTGTAGCTCTTCCCAAGTCCTCCTCCCGTCATCGCAAGTTGGTGGCTTGAAATTGGACCACGGTGAGAGCACTGACACCATGGAAAGTGGCAAATGGCCCTAGAGATCAGCTTCCCCCACCCCCCACCAGAGTCGGCTGCTAAACACCGACGGGCACACCACTGCTACCATCTGGTCTCATCTTTGGTTTCACAAGTTCCATGGCTGCTGTCCCCTACGAAAACGCCACAGACACAGTGTTGGCCCACTGACCTGGGCCCGGTTGGTGTAGAGCACCTTCATGTCCTTCAGCTTGTCCAGACCCTCACTGTAGCACACGATGGCCGCTTCGTAGTCCCCTCTGGCAAAGGCTTCATTCCCCTTTGCTTTCAGGGCTGGGAGAACAGAAGTCACAGGTGAGCTCTCCCCACACACTGGAAAATTCTCTCACTTTATTCCCCTGACTTTGCAGTTCCACTTTGGAGGTCATAGCCTCCATCAGTCCAAAGGAGACCTGTCACTTACTTGTCTGCAGACATTCTACGATCAGCCTCCTTAAGGGCTTTTTTTCCTTCCAAACCCATCCCAAGTCGCCCAAGTAGCTTCTCAGAAAAAGCAGATGTTTCTGGTGCAAAACTCAGAACCTCTCCAAGCGTGCCACAAAGACCAAGTCTACACACTGAACGTCTCAGAGAGAGGGCCGAACCACTCACTTCCTAGCACACGTTGGAAGCGGTCAGACCTGCAGCACGCCCACCGCTGGGGGGCGCGCACGTGCCGGACGCATCCTGCGCGTGCGCCGCCCCCGCCAGGCGCACAAACCCGCGTCTCGCCCTTCGTCTCTGCTCTCCCTTCTCACGTCTGTTTTCGCGTTTCGTTTTTCGTTTTCACTTTTCGTTGTGCCTCGGGCCAGCCCCCGGTGCCTCCCGCTTCCGTCCCTCCCTCCCGTCCGAAGATCGCTCAGGACGCTCAGTCTGACGGGCTCAGTCCGTCCTACGCTTTCGAAAGCGGCCCGGCGGCGGCGGTCACACGACGCCCCGCCCTGCTCCGGCCTGCGGCCGCGGGGACCGGACAGACACCACTGCCTGGCCAGGTTCCGCTGCCCCGAGCCCGCCACGAAGCCCCGACTGGGGGTCTCGCTGTCCTCGGGTATCAGCAGGCACACGCACGACCTTTCTGGCACCCGTCAGCCCAGCTCCTGTGAAGTGAAGACTGGCAGTTACCATCTGCGAAGACTTGGTTTTCCTTTCTTCTCCTGGCGCGTTCTTTTGCATCCAGCTCCACAGATGCCAAGAAGGCTTCTGACAGCAGAGTCATTGCAAGTATTTAAGAGAAAAATCCAAGTACTATAATCAGTTCTTTAGCTCAAATTCAGAGAAAGCTGCTGCAGAGCTTTAGAGCCACACATCTCATGCAGACGTACGTAGGCACGCGCGCGCACACACTCTGAAGCAACTAAATGACATTTTCTTAATTTGACATTAAATGGTAATCTGTGTGATGTATTATTATACATGATGGCTATGTCTGCGCTTCAAATTTGAATTATGTCTTTTAAAAGAGTTTTTCTTAAAGGCAGACTTTTTTGTTCCGTTTAGCATAATGAGCTTCTGAGCTGGGCAACAGAGGAGCTACCTAGATCCCTTGAGCAGCTAAGAGTAAATTGGATGATACAGAATTACTGAATTCAATTTACAAACAACTGGCCGGGAGAAAATAGAGGAAAGCCTTTCAGTGCTGTCCCCTCTGACTAGTAAGAGAATTGGCTGATCCGTAGGTTTCTGTTCATGGGTGGTTTGTCAGCCCAGAGGCTATAATTTAAGGGTCTGGAAGCTACAATCAATAAACACGGATTCTAAATAAATAATACACATTAGGAAGAGAGATGCTGTCCTCACCTGAGTTTATCTCATCTGCATTCTGCAGGGCACAGGTTATCATGAAAACAAAAAAAAAAAAACAAATTTCAAAAACCACTCTCTGATTTATAAGTGTACGAACCAAGAAGGCAGATCCATTACAAGTGGGGAGTAGGGTCATTTCCTCTAACCATCAATACTGAAGGGCCCAAAATTCACAGGGCTTGCTTTAAATCAGGAGATATGATTATGGGTACAGTTGTTATGGGGTGAGCAGGTCAAGGGACCCCAACTATGGCTGTATGAGTTGGAAATCTGAGGCAGAACATATTACCTTTACAGTACAGCTTAAATATTGGTCACAAACTCAGGGGTTGGGGAGGCCAAATTTTCATTAAAATAAACCCATTGCTTAAAGATGACTCAGAAAGACAAAGAAAAAAAAATCAGAGTTTATACTTCTTTTTGGAAAACAAATCTAGTGAATCTAAAAAACAAAAGACTATTTTAGCCTCCCCAGACAGTTTGAGATTAAACTACCACTTCCTCTCCTTCAAGGCAGCCCTCTTCTCTGAATCTACTTATAGAACTCTGTAATAGAAAAAGAAACCTCCATAGGAGCTTGCGGAGGACTGATCATGGTCTTATTCAGGGTGGTCCGGCATCCGTCCTCCTCTTGGACTTCCTCTGTAAACAGTAGTCTCTTTTCTGTCTCCAGGATAGCTTTCTGTTGTACAAGCGGGTCATCAGAATTCATCTCCTGGATTAAGCTGGCTGGAAGAGAAATCAAATGTGAATCATTCGAATGAGGTTTTCAAAAGGAAAGACTCCATTTACTAGAAAGAAAGGTGTAGAACATTCATGGAGAAGAACTTTTGTTTCTCTGGCTTTGTTGAGATATGATTGACATACAACATTGTGTAAGTTAAAGGCACACAAGTGTGATGATTTGATTCACATGTCTATTGTGAAGTGATCCCACAATAAAGTTAGTTAGCTCATCCACCTCCTCATGTAATCACAATATTTGTGTATGTGGTAAGAATATTTAAGATCTATTCTCTTATTAACTTTCAAGTATAAAATACAATATTTTGTAAAGATTTATTTATTTTAGAGAGCGAGCGATTATGGGGGGAGAGAGAGAGAGAATCCTAAGCAGACTGAGCGCTGACTGTGAAGCCTGACACAGGTCTCGATCTCATGACCCTGAGATCACAACCTGACCAAAAACCAAGAGCCGGACGCTTAAATGAATACACCACCCAGGTGCCCCAGTATAAAATACAGTATTAACTATAGTCACCATGTTGTACATTAGACCCCCTGAACGTACTCATTTTATAACTGAAGTTCATACGCTTTGACCAACATCTCCCCATTTCTTTCTTTTCCTTCCAGTTTCATTGAGAGGTAACTGACACATCACTGTCTAAGTTTTAGGCATACTGCGTGATGGTCTGATTTACATGTGTTGTGAAATGATTACAATAGGTTCAGCTAACATCCATCTTTTCTTATAGATAGGATTAAAAGAAAAAAAAAGGGAAAAAGTTCTCCCCTTGTGATGAGAACTCTCAGGATTTACTTTTTTGACAACTTTCCTGTCTATCCTACAGCAGCATCAGCTATAGTCATTGGGTTGTGCATCACATCCCCGGTACTTACTTATAACGACCTTTGTGCCTTTTGACCACCTCCCTCCAATTGCCCCTGCCCCACCTTCAGCCTCTGGTAACCACACAAGTCTGATTTCTTTATGAATTTTTTTTAGATTCCACATATAAATGAGATCATATAAGTATTTGTCTTCTCTGACTTATTTCACTTAGCACAATGCTTTGGTCCATCCATGTTGTCACAAATGGTAGGATTTCCCCATTTTTTATGAATGAATGATATTCCATTATTTATATGCACCACAACTTCATTACGTGTTCATTCATAGATGGACACTTAAGTGTTTTCATGTCTCGGCTACTGTAAATAATGTTGCTATGACCCTGGGGGTGCAGATATCCTTTTCCAGATAGTGTTTCCATTTCCTTTGGATATACTCCCAGAAGTGGAATTACTGGATTGTAGGGTAGCTCTATTTTTAATTTTTGGAGGAACCTCCACACGGTTTTTCACAGTGGCTGCACCCATTTGCATTCCCCCCTACCATGCACAGGGCTCCCTTTTCCCTACACCCTCCCCAGCATCTGTTGTCTCTTGTCTTTCCGATGATGGCCAGGCTGAAAGGCATGCGGTGAGGTCTCAGTGTGGTTTTAATTTGCATTTCCCTAATGACTAATGATGTTGAACATCTTTTCATGTACTGTGGGCTTTTCATGTTATTTTCTTTGGAGAACTGTCTATTTGGGTCCTTCGCCCATTTTTTCATCAGGTAACCTGGTGTTTTTTGTTTTGTTTTGTTTCTTTGTATTGAGTTGTATGAGTTCTTCGTATATTTTGGATATTAACCCTTTATCAGATACAAGGTTTGCAAAGAGTTTTTCCTATTCCTTAGATTATCTCTTCCCTATTCCTTTTTTTTTTTTTTAAGATTTTATTTATTTATTTGAGAGAGAAAGAGAGTGAGAGAAAGAGAGCACGAGAGTGGGGTGAGGGGCAGAGGGAGAAGCAGACTCCCCGCTGAGCAGGGAGCCCGATGTGGGACTCGATCCTGGGACTTTGAGATCATGACCTGAGCCGAAGGCAGATGGTCAACCGACTGAACCACCCAGGCACCCCTCTCTTCCCTATTCTTAAAGAAGGTTCTGAATGGAAGGCAAAAGTTAAAGCTATTAGAACCAATGAGAAAAAAAATTAAAAACAGGACTTGTTTTGCCTGGAAAAAGCTGCAGGAGAATTTTGCTGTGGCCTTCAACTCACAGTTTCAAGCTACTTATTTAATCCAGCAACAATTTATGGAGAGCTTATTATGAGTCAGATATTATGCAGAATGCTATAGATAACAAGGATGAATAAAAGAGATACTGATTTTTGAAGAGCTTCCAATCTTGTGTGGGAGAAAAACAGGTACGTTTAGGCCACCCTGAGGTCACAAAACAGCCCTTAAAGCTATCCTGTCTTCACTTCACTGCCTGCTCAGCTTAGATCCCATGATCCATCCTGTCTACGTGCTGAACCCTCTTGCCCTCCCACCCCACCTGCCACACAAAACTCCAACTCCAAACCCAACTCCCCACTTCTCTAGGCCTTTATGACAGATGTGGAGGACTGATAAAGATACATGGACACCAGGGAGAACTGGTCCTAACTCAACTGGCTGGTCAGTGGTACCCGGCAATCCTGTTAGCCTCGTATGATTCAGACACCAATTCTAATGTGTGTTTTTCCCCCACACCACCCTGCAATTCTGACACCCCCTGGGTGTCCCACAGTTCAACACAATTCTCATCGACCTGAGATAGTGTCAGATCCCACAAGTTAAGGGCTTAGTCCTGTGAGACTGCCCACTCCCCACCCCCCACTTCACATGCTAGTCCAGGTTGTCACCTGCGCTTCTGACCTCATGGCTAAATCAGAGGGTCCTCCAACCTCCTCCTTCTCTGTTTTGATTAATTTGCTAGAGTGGCTCACAGAACTGAGAGAAACATTTTACTTAGTAGATCATCAGTGTATTATAAGAGGATATAACTCAGGAAGAGCCAAATGGAAGGGATGTATAGGGCATGGTATGTGGGAAGGGGGGCGGAGCTTCCAGGCTCTCTGAGCGCACCCCTCTGCCAAAACCTCCAACTCGGAAGCTCTCTGATCCTGGTCTTTTTGCGGTTTTAGGGAAGCATCATTACACAGGCCTGATTTAAAAAAATTATTGGCCATTGGCAATCAATTCAACTTCCGGCCCCTCTCCTGTTCCCAGGGGGTTGAAACTTTATCACAGGGTTGGTTCCCTGGCAAACAGCCCCCATCTTCGGGTTCCAAAAGTCACTCATTAACATAAGCTCAGGTGTGATTGAAAGGGGTTTGTTATGAATATAAAGATGCCTTTATCTGTCTGATCACTTAGAAGTTCCAAGGGCTTGGGGAGCTCTTTGCCAGGCACAGGGACAAAGAACAAATATTTATTTCTTACTATAAATCACAGTATCACACCCAAACAAGTCATCCTATCCTTCTCCTGCGGACTTTACAAAACTGCCTCCAACCAAAGGAGCCCCTCATGCAGTGTCGGTGGGAATGGAAACTGGTGCAGCCACTGTGGAAAACAGTTTGGAGGCTCTTCAAAAAATTAAAACTAGAATTACCATATGATCCAGTAATTCTACTATTGGGTATTTCCCCAAAGAAAACAAAAACTCTAATTTGAAAAGATATATGCAGCCTTGTGTTTCTTACAGCCTTATCTACAATAGCCTGGTATGGAATATCACTCAGCCATAAAAAAGAATGAGATCTCGCCATTTGCAAAAGCATGGATGGAGCTAGAGTATATACTGCTAAGCGAAACCAGTCAGAGAAAGACAAATACCATATGACTTCGCTCATGTGGAATTTAAGAAACAAAATGAACAAAGAAAAAAGGAGACAAACAAAAAACCAGACTTTCAAGGACACAGGACAAACTGGTGGTCGCCCTCCTACCTCTCTGGCCATTGCTTTTGGTCTCCTTTGCTTGTTCCTGCTCTCCCTGTCCTACCTACCTTCTTGACTGTGTGAGTCTCAAGGTTGTGCCTGAGCCATCCATTCTTTTTCTGGACCATTCCCCCAGGTAGTCCTGTTCTCTCCCATGGTTCTAAATACCATTTATATGCCAGGGCCTCCTAAACGGACATCCCCAGCCCTATTCTCTCCTAGGCTCGGACTCGCAAAGCCAACTGCCCTCTGAACATCTTCACTGCGATGTCTTGCTCGCCAATCCTGCCCTGCCCATCTTCTTTCCCCTGAGACTGTTCCTCCCCCAAATGTCCCCTCTCAGCAGATGGTCAAACCACTGCCAAGTTTGGGCATTCGACCCCAAACTTTCAGGACTCATTCTTGAGTCTTCGTTCTCCCTCTGTCCTCACAGCCATCAAACTCTAAAGCTTGCCAAGTAAATCCTAAATATATCTCAAGTCCATTTACTCGTGCCCATTTCTGCTGCTACAGCTCTAAACCCAGCCTGTCTCTTTTCCCTGGAGCGCCGGAACAGCCTCCTGACGGGGCTCCCAGCGTCTGTTCTCCTATCCCCTCCATGTCCTCGTCTTGACATCCATGCCGTGGTCAGAGCGACTTTTCTAAGGTATAAATCTGATCATGTCCCTGCGCTGCGTCAACCCTCCAACTGCTTGCAGGGTAGACATGAATTCCTCATTGTGGCTTCCAAGGTCTTCCCTGATCCGGCCTTTCTTGACTCAGATGGGACCCTTCTCTCTGTGATCTCTTCTCTCCAGCCACACAGAGCTTTTTATGCTTCCAGGTTCTTAAAAGCACCATGTTCTCTAACTCCCAGCTTTCCTACCTACTTTCTCCCCACTTAGAATCTTCCCTTGCCCTCCCCCCAGTGCCCAACTCCTACTCACACTTCAGATTTTTTGCTTAAATCTCATATTTCAGGGAAGCCTTAAACAACTCCTGTAAAGGACTGTAGTGTGGTCCCCACCCCATTCACACGCTGACGCCCTAGCCCCCCAGTGTGACTGTCCTGGCAGAGAGCCTTTAAAGGCATAAGTAAGGTTAAGTGAAGTCATCGCGGTGGGGCCCTAAACCAACTGGACTGTTGTCCTTATAAGGAGAGCAAGAGACCCCAGGGACGTGTACACGCAGAGCAAAGACCACGTAAGGACACAGTGGGAAGGCAGTGGGTCTCCAAGCCAAGAGGAAAGGCCTCGGGAGAAACCAAACCCGCCCACGCCCGGATCTTGCACTTCCAGAACCGTGGAAAGGAAACTGCTGCTGTTTAGTGGTATGTTGTTACAGCAGCCCGATCAGACTAACACAACTTGTAGCCTGAGTCAGTGTCTCTCTCTTTTTTTTTTCTTTAAAGATTTTATTTATTTATTTGAGAGAGAGAATGAGACAGAGAGAGAGAGCATGAGAGGGGGAGGGTCAGAGGGAGAAGCAGACTCCCCGCTGAGCAGGGAGCCCGATGCGGGACTCGATCCCGGGACTCCAGGATCATGACCTGAGCTGAAGGCAGTCGCTTAACCGACTGAGCCACCCAGGCGTCCCAAGATTTTATTTCTTTATTTGAAAGAGAGAGAGCACAAGCAGGGGGAGCAGCAGAGGAGAGGGAGAAGCAGACTCCCCGCTGAGCAGGGAGCCCGATGTGGGACTCGATCCAGGGACTCCAGGATCATGACCTGAGCTGAAGGCAGTCGCTTAACCAACTGAGCCACCCAGGCGCCCCGAGTTAGTGTCTCTTGTACTTTGCCAATCTCTCTTCATTTCACATGTCACACTGGAGATTACTTGTTTCGCATCGGCTCTCTGCATGGGGCTGTAGACACCAGGAGGAAAGCTAATTCTTGGTTATTGTTACTGAGGTCTCCAGAGCCTAGCACAACTAGATACATAGCCAGAGCCCAGGAAATGAGTACCTAGAACCTATACGCGTGGCTACACGAATTTAAACTAAATATTAATGAAATGCAATTAGAAACTCAGTTCCTGGGTAGCACCAGCCACCTTTCAAAGGCTCACGGCTGCGTGCAGTTACCGGTGGCCACAGTGGCCAGTGTAGACTGTAGGGCATTTCCAGCACCACAGAGAGTTCTATGGGCCAGTATTGGTATATATGGCACCCAAAGGAACTTTGAGCCTGAATGAAAGTGAGCCAGGTAAAGAAAGATGGGGAGGCAGAGGGAACAACAACGGCAACGTGCAGAGTGTGAAGCATCGGGGGACGTGTGGGGAACTAGAAGCAGTCTGCTGCCATTCACTCAAGTGTGAGGTAGGGAGAGGCGAGAGGTAAGGACAAGGTCAGAGGAGGACTTAAGTCCTGAGGAGAGCTTGAAGTTTATTGTGGCTGCGGAGAGGATCCAAGCAGAGAAGTGTCTGGGTCAGATTTGCATTTTAGATACATTACTCTGTGGGGAGCGTAAGCTGGAGGCAGGAACAACAATCAGGGGGTTGTTGAAATAGTCTGGGTCAGACAACCAGAACAAAGGGAGGGGCGGGGAGGACCGAGCGGGAGAAAGAGCTAAACTTGACGGCTGATTGAATGTAGGCTGAGAGCTGGCAGGAGTCCAGGGTGACTTGTAAACTTCCAAGCCCTGGTGCCACCCGGCGAGACTAGCATGAAGGGGAAGGTGGGAGAAGCAGGTTTTACTGGGGAGGAGGAGGACGGGGTAGAGCAATGATCAACTGGCTTTTGGACCCACGGAGTTTGCGGTGCCTGTGGGGTACAATGGATAGACAGCTGCCAGGGTCTGGGGCTCAGCAGAGAAGGCTGGGCGGCCAACAGGGATGTGGGGGTGGTGAGTAAACAGGCTGTAGGAAAAATCACGTGCCTGGACTAGACCACCTGCAGAGGACGGTGAGCGGCAGGCTGGCCAAGGCCAGAAGTCCGCAGAATAACATTCAGGGATGGGGGAGGGGGGCGTGGATGGACACAGGGAACAGATTGTGGATGTGTCTTGTATCAAGTGACCCCAACTATTTTTAAAACCATGTTAATTCTTTGGACCCATACAGCCTGCTGGAAGGAGCAATTTCAACATATTTCTATTTGATATGTAAGGTTGGTTTGATTGTTGGTTTGCTTGTTTCCATCACCACGCAAGCTCCCTGAAGTCTGAATAGGAAACCGGCTGCTTTGGAATCTCTTGAATGGGATTTGTGGGATCAGAGGATGTCCTTTGAGATCCCACCTGTCTGAGCTGGGGAAGGAGGGGTCTTCCTGCCTAGAGGCGGAGAGACAGGATTATGACAACCATGAACCATCCATGTAATTAGACAGACCCTGAGGGAAGGCCATTTGATTTTGCCTCTGCAGCTCAAAATCAGAAATGGCTCTGCCCTAAAACAAGAGGGATTCCACGCTGATCAGCGAGGTTCCTAAATGATCTCGAAGGGAACAGCTAGGCTCCTTCGACGTGAATTCTACATGGAAGGGGATAAAATATGGAGGAGAGCCGTCAGCCTCAATTCCAACCAGAATGTTAACGGCTTCTCCGATACCAATTAGCAGCCACAAAATACCACCCCGGGCTCTAATATTACTTGCTTCTCAATACCCTTTCTGTTTAATTTCAATTACATTGTCTCTTAGAGTCATAAACCTATCAGGCAGCCCAGGAACTAACTTAGAGTGATCATTTCTCTCCAGTCACTCCACCTCGCAAGCGTAGAATTTAATTTGTTTATGATTTACTGGTACTTACTGATTTCATCCACATTTTTAAGAAATTTCTGCAAATCTTTCTCGTGATCGTCAGCCATTGTCAACCAGAATACCTGGGGGAGGCAGCATAAGTGATGAAAATTAATAATAATAAAACACTAAGCAGAATATGTCAGGCTCATTAGCCTTCTAAAACTAAGAGCCAAGTGATTATTTGTAAGATGGATTTGTGTTCACAAATGTCACGAATAACAGCAGGGTGATCTATGTCACTCTGACTGCTATTAAGGCCAAGGGATACTCATTACTTGTGGTGATACTTCTGGAAGCTGTCAGCCCTCCCTTCACTGGGAGAACTGCTCTGCAAAATGTTCCTCCAAAGCCAACATCCACCGCTGTGATTCAGGGACCTGGAGTAAAGGAGGCCAGGAGGCCAGAAGCAGACAGGCTGGCAGGAATGGAGGAGGACACGAACGCTTGGCTTTGATCATGATAGGCCCGCCCGGCCAGAAGCCTGGATCTGGCTGTGTGACTGGTCGCCAGGAGCCGGAGACTTTGCATTTAACTGTTCAAACTTGTTTAATCTGAGGAGTGAAGAGGAGCTAAACATTGACTGAAGGGATCAGAACTTGATGGCCCTGTGCACCGGCACCTCTTCTCCTCTCCAGGGACTTGAGGTTTATTACTTCCCGGTGGTTTGTGAGTAAACAGGCCTCACTGTACACCCAGGGGTTCCCGAAGTTCACCCACAGGCCATAAAAACCATCCGAAAACTCGTTAAATACACAGACTCCTCAGCTTTAGCGCCAAAGCTTCTCGGTCAACCTGCCAAGGCGCCCGGGAAAGGACAGTTTTAAAACTCTCTCGGGGGGGCGCCTGGGTGGCTCAGTTGGTTAAGCGACTGCCTTCGGCTCAGGTCATGATCCTGGAGTCCCGGGATCGAGTCCCGCATCGGGCTCCCTGCTCGGCGGGGAGTCTGCTTCTCCCTCTGACCCTCCTCCCTCTCATGCTCTCTGTCTCTCATTCTCTCTCTCTCTCAAATAAATAAATAAAAAATAAAAAATAAAAAAACCCAAAAACCTCTCTCGGGGGTTTTTCTGACTTGCGGCCAGGTTTAGTAGTAGTGCAGTCGTGTAAGCACCTCTAACTGGACATTTGGGCCCTGCCACAAACGAGGCGGGAGTTACCTGACTCTGAGACTCTACCAGTTGCAAGCTGTGCGACCTCAGCTCAAGTCACCAGCCTCTCCGCGCCTCATGCTATGGAAATGGTAATACGAACCGAGAGGGCTCCCCGGGGTTAACTGAAAGCACCAGGCACGCAAAGAGTGGTAAATGCGAGGCACCCTCATCTACAAACGGGGGCGGGGACGTGCGGCTTAACTAAACGAGCGACAGGGTACCTTCCGGCTCTAACATATTAAGGCTCCCACGGAACTGAGGCCTAGTGAAGCGAGTTGACCTGCCCAAGTTTGCCGGGGCACAAGGAAGGCTCAGCACTTGCGCGGCCCGCGCCGAACCCACCGCGGGGCAGGAGATGCACCCCCGCGAGCTCGCGACCCGCGGCGCGCCAGCGGGAGCCCCGCGCCCCGCCCGCCTGGACTCCCCGCCCCGCCCGGCGCAGAGGGGCGGGGCGACGGCACCGTTGCCCGGCAACCACTCCGCGGCGTCCAGCGGTTCCCGTGCCCGAAGCGGAGGACCCAGCCCGCGGCCGATACCGTCCCATCTGCTGGGGCCCACGCCAGCGTCCTCTCCTCGGCGCTAACGGCCAGATCAGGACCACATCCCGGGGCAGACCCCGGGCCACCCCGCCGCACTGACCTGACACGCCCCGGGCCGGACAGGAAATGGCGGCTGTGGGCGGGCAGGGACGGGCTGGGGGGCGTGGCCAACGGCGGGGCGTGGCCAAGGATCGGGGCGGGGCTAGGGCCGGGAGGGGGCGGGGCTAGGGCCGGGAGGGGGCGGGGCCCCGAAGCGCAGGTTCTGGAGCCGGCGCGCCGCCGCTAGATCTTGGCGGAGCTGGGGCCCTGCCAAGGGTGGGGAGCAGAAGCTCCGAGTGACCCGCGCTGGTCCCTGAGTCAGCGCCAGGTTTCGCCTCTTTCTAATAAGGAGGGGGTATCACTCCCATTAGCTTACTATCCCCGGCCCAAAAAGGGGACAACCTTCAGTGTACTTGGGAGGGACAGGCTTGGGTATGAATCCGGCTTTGCTTATTGGTAAATGTGAGACCTTCGGAGAGTTACGTAACCCTCTGATCTTCAGTTTCCTCATTTATAAACTGAAGTAGTGGCACGTAAGGTTTATGGTTAAAGTGCCAGGCATTTAGTCAGTAGGAACATGGTAGTTTTTATCCAGGGAATCATAGGATTTGGAGCAGAATGAGACGGTGGACACATGCACACTTTGAATACATCCACACGGTTTTAAAGAGATTCCAGTCTGGTTTTTTTAAAGATTTTTATTTATTTATTTATTTGAGAGAGAAAGAATGAGAGAGCACATGAGATGGGGGAGGGTCAGAGGGAGAAGCAGACTCCCTGCCGAGCAGGGAGCCCGATGCGGGACTCGATCCCGGGACTCCAGGATCATGACCTGGGCCGAAGGCAGTCGCTTAACCAACTGAGCCACCCAGGCGCCCCGTCTGTTTTTTTTAAAACAAAGGTTCAGTGTTATGTGCTGGGTTAAAAGGGGAGAAAAGCAGGTTTGGGGAAAGTTCCAACTTGAGCTTAAGCTGATGTTCAGGAACACCTGGGACTTCTTGGCAAATTTGTGAGTGTGTTTCAGAAGCCTGTTTGGTTGGGGCTGAGGAGCCCCCCGGGGTTAAAACTTACCAGGCGGGGAGAGGGGTCCAGGCATGGCTGGCTAGATCCAACATTGGTTGAGTACAGTCTGTGGACTCTGTCCTGTGGGCTAGAGCTGGAGAACAGGGGGCTGCTTGACTGAGATCTCCAGAATGGTAGACATCACTCCTGCTTGGGAACGCCCGGAGTGGAGTAGAGCACAAAGGGGCCACGGTGTTCTCATGGCAGCTGAGCAGGTGCAGCTGCAGTTGGGTCCTGCTGTCAGCTGCAGCAGGAGGCAGTGGGCCCTGGGGGGACCCAAGAGTATAGGCACAGCAGCCGTCTCAGTCCCCAGGGACTGAGATGGCCCCTGAGAAGTAGCAGAGTGGAGGTGTCCGGCAGAGCAGGGTGGCTTCGCCAGCCACACCCTGGAAATTCTCAGAAAGACACGGGTTACTTTACAGTGACCGTGGAGCCTTTGGGAACTGATGGAGACAAGAACCAGTGACAGGTTACTGCTGTTACTATCACCCTGTTTCCCCCTGAGGCTGAGAGCTCTTGAGCACACACAGGCATAGTCTCCAACCTCAGGCTCCTTTTGTCACTTTGCGGCTGACATTCTTAATTCCAAATCACTTACTTCCTATAGCACACTCCTGTCCTGGACTCCAGAGGCGCCTGCCCACCACCATTCATTCACACATTCATGTGCCAGTTGTGGGCGGTCTACAGTGTGCCAGGTGCTGTGGAAAGCCCCCCGGGTGCACTTGACAAATGACAAATATTTATCATGCGTTGAATGATCAGGGGCTCTAGAACCAGTCTGCATGTGCTCAAATCTCAGCTCTCCACTTCTTAGCATCTATTAAAATATTGTCAAGCACCTCCCATGCACATTTACTGAGCTAGTGCTGGAGAGCTTTCTCTCTTCCCTACTTCTACTATTACTAGCTGTGTGACCTTGTCAAGGTACTTAATCTCTCCATGTCTTAGTTTCCTCACCTGAAAAAAATGAGGATGTTAAGTAGTATCGATCTTACAGGACTGCTGTGAGAGGCACATGAGTTAATACAGGAGGAGTGTTTAGACAATGCATGGAGCATCAGGAAATGTTATTAACTGTTATTACTACTGCTATGATTTATATGCATTAGACCAGAGCTTCAGAACCTGGACCATGCATAAGAATTACCTGGGGATCTTGGGGCGCCTGGGTGGCTCAGTCGTTAAGCGTCTGCCTTCGGCTCAGGTCATGATCCCAGGGTCCTGGGATCGAGCCCCGCATCGGGCTCCCTGCTTGGCGGGAAGCCTGCTTCTCCCTCCCCCACTCCCCCTGCTTGTGTTCCTGCTGTCGCTATCTCTGTGTCTGTCAAATAGATAAATAAAATCTTAAAAAAAAAAAAAAAAGAATTACCTGGGGATCTTGTTAAGTTGCAGATTTGGATTCAGCAGGACTGGGTTCTGAGATTCTGCAGTGATGCCTCTTTGTGGACTGTGGATCACGTGGATTAGCACATGAATAATCTTTTCTTTATGTTAGAAGTTATTTTTATAGTTAGGAGTTATTTTTTTTTCTCCTTGGAGTCCTATTTCCATTTGACGCCCCCCCCCCATACTCAGAATACTACCCTAATACAGGATATTTTTATGTTTGAATGTCTTTTACTGATCACCCGATCCTAATTCTCTGCCACAGAAATATCAACAAGCATTGTTGGAGTGTTTGCTTTACCCACAAGTCAGGGACACAGCCCCTGTCCTCAGTGAATTCACAGTGCAGTGAGGAAGGTAGATGCATAAACACATTATTACAGAGCGGGGTGATAGGCACAGTGAAGGTCTAGTGCTTACGGAAGAAAGAAGGAGGAAGAAAGGGAAATGAAAGCCCCGTAGGAATAGGAATTTACATGGTTCACGTGGAAGCTGAGCATGTGTGCAATGCTCTAGGCCGAGCAAACATTTAGAGGCAGGAAGCATTGTGCCATGGGTGAGAAAACAGAAAAGTTTAAGGCAAGAGTGGTGAGAGATGAGCCAGAGAAATGGGTATGGCACAGGATCTCAAGGAGGGAAGCCATAGGAAGAATGGGAGGCAAGGAGGAGCCCAGGCAAGAGCTGGGCAAAGTACCTGGGCAGGAGAGATGTCAAGGAGAGGGCGAGCGCCTACATGGATCTCTGTGGAGCCAAGACCTTGCTCCAAGCCCCAGCCCTCTGATCCAACTGGGTAACTGGACTGTGGATCTCTTGGGAGTAGGAGTTTTGTTTTATTTTGTCTTAATGTTCCCAGCAACCCAGCACTTATTTAGAGCTAAATTTAGATTTGCCTAATAAATGAGTTAATTTCTTGCTCTGTGTAGAGGAAGATTGGAGAAAGGCTCCAGTCTAAGTTATTCCAGATTGGGGAAGGAATGAGTATTTAGTTTCTCTGCGTCAGCCTTCCCAGAGAGGTCCATTTTGGAGGACAAACATTGTTACAGTCACAAAATATGTTTTAGGGTAAATCTACTCGACAGATTGATCACTTTAAAATGTCAGAGGTCTTAGTAAGCCCTGGGTAGTCACTGGGCTGTCTGCAAAGATGCCAGTATTCCTTCTCCCAGGCACACGGTAGCCTCTCACTTCCCTGTGACCAGGTGATTTGCCTTGTTCAGTGCTGTGTGGGAAGAAGCGAAGGAGGCAGAAGCCTTTAGGAGCCAGTGTGTGACTCGCAATATATAGCCAACCCTTCCCCTGCCCCAGCCCCCAGGTGCTGGCAGCCGTATCCGCATGAGTCTGGGTGAGGAGACATGGACCAGAGCTGCCTCTCTACCCCTGATGGACATGTAGCATGAGTGAGCAGTAGACCTTTTTTGTTTTAATCCACAAAAATGTTGGACTTGTTTGTTAGGCACCATGACACAGCCTTTCATGTCTAATACAGCCACTCAGACTCTTGCAGTTCACTTGCTACAGTGACAAAATCTAGGGACCGTGGACAGGAGTGTGCATAGATTATGATCGTTGTGACTTACGTTTTAAGCGTCAGCGTCTGCATTTTCATATGCGTCCAAACATGCAGAGGAGAAGAGACGTTTAAACCGTGTGTGAGTCACATTTCAAATGTATTCCTCCTAGAGAACCTTCATGACTCATGCTTTCCCAATGGCTACTTCCACCCACCCTAAGTCCCTTATGTGGTGCGCAAGTTTTACTTTTTCTTTATGTCCTCATAAAAACTGGAGAACATTTGGCCACCTTCCACCATACAGTGTATCAGAGACTTGGAGATTATTAGAAGTTGTCTCTTTTCTCTGCTTTTCCTTTTGGGTATATGATTCTAGCTCTTTGCTTTTTCTCATCAATCATACTTTATAAGCTCAGGAGAGATAAGAAAAAAAATTCCCCCTCCCCCCGAGGACAGCCTCACACAGAGTAAAGGGATCGTGCGTTTGCCTGCTGGAAGTAAAGGGTGCAGACAAGGTCAGCCCGGAGCCAGGAGCCGCACCGAGACGGTGTCCTTTTGCACAGAACCCCTCACGTAGATGCCGGGACCACCGTTCTTTCGGTAGCTTTGGCCTCAGGATTTAGCAGGGGAGGAAGCTGACGGAATTCGGCACCGTTTCTTCCCTCCTTGAAGGGAATTCAGAAATCACATTTGATATTTCCCCCCCACATATGTCCTTTCATTAAAAAGAAAAGACTAGCTAACGTTTTTGCTCCTGGTCTTACCCTTTTCTCTTTCAGTGCCTACCTGAATATGGATGAAGAAGTGATTTCAAGATCTAGTCACAGATTTCGTCTGTGTGTCCACGGAGGGCGAGTCTTGCCCGG